CCTACAATATCGCGACAAAATGTCCCTGAGAAATTCACTGTTGACTTTCAGGGTGAGGGGGCATGTTGGTGTGTCGGCGGTTGCTGCTGATCGCAGCCGCGATCGCGGCCTCGATCGAGGCTGGCTCGGCTAGTTACTCCGGCATCTCGTCAGACTACTCCGGATACCCGAGCTACGCGGTTTACTCCGGCGCGACGTCATCCGAGTCCTCGTCCTCGTCCTCGTCGAGCTCGACGACCGGCCCGACATCGGACACCGCTAACGGCGAGTCGCTCTGCCGACCGTCCGAGTTCCAATGCGGCATCGGACATTGCGTCGCGCAGGACAAGTACTGCGACGGCGAGAATGACTGCGACGACAAGGCCGACGAGCCGAGATATTGCACCCGTGAGTACCAGCGCTCCTGCCGACCGACGGACGGGGAAAACGTCGAACAAAGCGAGTCGCCGGGGTGAATCGATACCTACTCCTTCCTCCTTGCCTCTCCGCCCTTTATCCCTTGTCCTACGCCCCTCTTGTTGGCTCTTTTCCTCTCCCCCTCCCCTCCCTCCCTCTCTCTCTCTCTCTCTCTCTCTCTCTCTCTCTCTCTCTCTCTCTCTCTCTCTCTCTAACAAGAAAGAGAGGGGGAGAGAGAGAGAGAGGGAGAGAGAGAGAGAGAGCTGGTTCGTCTCTATTAGCGTTTAATCCGGAAAATAATAAATCTCCCCCTCTCCCTTTCTTCTCTCTCGACGACTCTCCTGCAGTCGATCATTTTTCTGCGGAAAGAATTCATCGCTTCGCGAGCTGCACTCTCTTTCTCGTCGAATTCGCGATTTATATGCGACTGCTGATATAATTCGACAAAAATTCGCGCTACCGTAGCGCGCGCGCGTTATTGATGACTGAGAGAGAGAGAGAGAGAGAGAGAGAGAGAGAGAGAGAGGAGCCTCCGCGTGTTTCGTCGGGACATACGAGGGTTACGTGCGAGACATCTGATCGTTGCCTGATGATGAGTCAAACGACGAACGGCGACGGCAAGAGAATACAAAGCGGCAGAGCGGCGGAAATTCGTTTATCGCGCGGTGAGAAAAAGGGGAGAAATTTGTGGCGATATGAAAAATTTGCGGCGCGGAGTGATTGCGGCTGGTTTCCAGCCTGAAGCGCCCCGGGTATATGCATTCGTTCCGCGTATCTGTATCTGTATCTCGCGTATCGACGCACCGCGAATTAAAGCGGGGAACGGCTCTCGCTCGTCCGAGCGTATGATGTTTCGGTTCCGATAATTATTTCGCGGCGCGATCATTTTCTCTCCCGATTCCTGTCAAGACCACAGCGTGACGTCATGCCGATTTGTAAAAGCCACCGACACAACGACAAACAGCGCCAACAACGTGTGTGTCGCGCGCGTGTTACGATTAGTCTTAACACACGCGCGCGAGTTTGTTCCGAACAGCTCTATCGCATAATTTATCCCGGCAAATAATTCACCTATTCATTATTGATATAATAATAATTACACCACCGTATAGGAAATTTAATCAATTCGCGATACGCAAATACAATTACGTCGCACAAACATCGCATTTTCGTTCGTTTGAATCTTTAATTCTCGATAATATAGGCGTCTCTCTCTCTCTCTCTCTCTCTCTCTCGAGCATTGCGATAGAATCCGCGACGTGTGATAGTGCAAATTTATCACAGCGACTATCCGCTGTAATCCAATCCCTTCGTGGAATTTCGGATCGCGCGTGCTGAAACACACGCCATGCAGAATGGGCTAATTACACGGACTAATTATGCTGTGTCTACGTTGTCATAGGACGCGAACGTGCGAGGCCTAAGCTGGGAGATCTTCAATCAGCATTATCAACATTTAAGCGCTCTTTGTTGATGCGCAGATTCGCGCGCGTTGCTGGTTTTCTTAAACACCCGCGTTGTCTCTGCGGAAGAAAGAGAGAGAAAGAGAGAGAGAGAGAGAGAGAGAGAGAGAGAGAGAGAGAGGGAGAGGGAGAAAGAGAGAGAAAGAGAGCGAGGACGAGTCTCCCTCCGCTACAAATAAATATTAAATATGCAAATATATAGCAACGGTTTATAAAGCTCGCATGTTGTACGTATTTAATTTGGTGAATGTTCGGCCGGATACGCAAATTACACCGCGCGCGAGCAGTTAGTAGTTAATATCGTACAAAATAACATTTTGTCGTAACGCGCTATAATGCAGAATAATTATATACTGGGATTTATTTTTCGCGCATAATTATCGCACGATAAAAACACTTCAGCTTGCCGAAGCTCATATACACAACTTGATATACGCGACCTCGTTGCAAGGGAAAGAGCAAGAGGAAAAAGAGGAAAGAGAAAGAGAAAGAGAGAGAGAGAGAGAGAGCGAGAGAGAGAGAGAGAGAGAGAGAGAAAGAGGGAGAGAGAAGATGAGGAGAGAGAGGCAGAGTAGTTAGGAGTTATTAATATTTCGCGAAATAATTTATCTCACCGGGTCGCGGGCGCACCGTGACTTGTTTTCCGCGTATAAGCATCGCACGATGTAAATAATCGCGAGTCGCGATCGAAATTCATTTAATTTATGCATTGTTTCCTCGCAAAACACGGAGGAAAACTCAAGCCACCGCACAGTGGGGCGAGATGACATTCTTTGTTTCAAAATTCTCTAGAGACCTGAATTTCCGACCGATCATCGACACCAATGAATGAGGTTGATCCTGAATACATTCCGAAGAGATCTGTCTTGCCAAAATTTAAACAAATTTTTTCCTTGAATTACTAGCCCCAAAAGAGGAAAAATTATCATTAAACGCGAGAAACTTGTGAAATACTCATTATTCGACACTTATTTCTGTCTAATAGCGTATTCAGCTGATTGAAACTATGAAACCAATCAACAGACACTTCGAGATTTATCGATCTTGAATCAGAAACCCATTAACCCAAAACTCATATGCCCAGAATACAAAAACATCAAATATAGACCCGTTAAGCACCGAAACCGAGGGATTTTAATCCTTAATTCTTTCTTAATGTGGGCTGAAATGATGAACTTTGAAATTCTGAGTTTTCTAAAAGGTGATTGTAAGTTCTGGGGTCTCGCATTTAGTATCCATAGGCTCGAACCCATTGAGGTCGAATCCAAGACACTGTACTTTAAACGGTAAACTTTTAAGACAAACCCTTTTAAGACTAAACCCATGAACCCTGAACCGATAATTTTTGCAAAATTTCGGCTAGACAGATCTCTTTGGAATTTATTCAGGACCAACCTCATCCATTGGTGTCGAGGATCGGTTGAAAATTCAGGTCTCTAGAGAATTTTGAACCAAAAAATGTCATCTGGCCCCACCTCTGTGCGCCGCGCCGCCCTACGCTAGCGCGCGCGCGGCCGGTCAGACGGCTGAGAAATTTCGCGGAACACTACTTCGCGGGCTAGCCAGAGGATGCGCCTCACTCGTCGCGCTTCCATCATCCGTAAAAGTGACTCTTGCATTCCCCGCTAGTGCAATTCGTCTGACAACGAATGACATAACTCTCGTGGGCGACTGCCGTATCGCACCGAACATTAAGGTCCTCTGTCGTTCCGCAGAAAAAAATTTCACGGCAGCTATTAGGGTAAGTCCGGGATAGATGGACATAGTTCTTTTAATTGCAAATAACACATCTGTATTAATGAAATAAATGGTCAATAACATATTAACACATTCAATAGAGGATAAAGTTTAAGGTTTTTGTGAAAAAAAAATTCATGGGACGCCAATAATAACGAAATATTAAAAATGTTCTGTGAGGGATAGATGGTCATATGTCAAGAGACAGCTGAGCCTACGTTATCTCGGTAACCAATTTTTAGGTTAAATACAATGTTTTTTAGTCGTTTAAGCCCAGGTTTAATATTCGATAAACCTCAAAATAAACCGTATTCGCGAGGTATTATTCCGACGTGTGGAACATTTTAGAGGTTAATAGAAATATAAAACATTTATTTATTCGTAATAACAGTATTTCTGTGTATCAGGAAGAAACACACCTATTCGTGGTATATCCAGATCCAACTCCGATTGACCGATCGGTGTTGACAAGTTTGACATTTAATGTTACCAGGGAAAAATGACAGTCGAATAGATTATATATATATATATATATCTAAAAAATGTCGATCCGCTGTCCATTGCTTGCTATTTCTCGCTAAGTAGGCTGCCCATCTAACGCTGAAAAAATGGACCATCTATCCCCGTTTGGAGAGTTCGCGTAAAAATGCGTATAACCGTAATACCGCGTGAAACGTAGTCTCGGTGACGAATTTCAAGATTAAAATACGAGATAAAAATACGATGTTTTTCTAGTCGTTTAATCCCAAGTCTAATGTTGTAACTCAAAATAAATCGCATTCGCAAAGTATTTTTCCGACATGTGGAACACATTTTGGAGGTTACTAGAAACATAAAACATTTATTTACTCACAATAGCAGTGTTTCTGTGCATCAGGATAAAACACACTTACTCGTGATACATCCAACTCACAACTGACCGATCAGCGCTGACGCCTAGCATATATTAACAAAATTATAGCAATTGACCATCTCTATCCCCTATACCCATCTACCCCGAACTTAGCCTAATCTCGCAAGGACGAAACGGCCGGGGAGCCGAACGATCGTTGGCGCGCGAAAATCTCGATCGAAACGTTGATCGGCCGTGATATCTTAAGACCGTATCACACTAGCGACTCGCGGCTGCGACTGCGACTGCGATTGCGATTGCGATTTCTTGTTTTCCAATCACACCTGCGATCAGCGATCGCGGCTGCGGCTAAATACTGTTAACATACTGTCACACGTACAATCCCAGAGAAGGGGTTTACATTCTACGAGATCTACTAAATAATAGTCTGTCTCCTTATTAAATTATTTTGACATTTAAAAAAAAAATATGTAACACATAAAACAACACTAGATATAACCTTATTCTAATGATCACCGACTTCTTCTACATACTATTAAATAAATGTGATTATGACGAGCGGGTCACGTGATTATACGGAGTGATTGGTTGCGACTGCGGCTGTAACTCGAAAAATGGACAGCCGTCCACATGGATAGTCGCGAGTCGCAGCCGCGAGTCGCTGCTTTCTGATTGGTCGAGGAAGAGTCGCAATCGCAATCGCAGCCGCAGCCGCAGTCGCGAATCGCTAGTGTGATACGGCTATAACACATCATCGACACGGCAAAATGTGCAAAAGGGCGTAAAAAGAAACGCTCGTCGCAGCAGCTCCACAACTTTCGCTCAACCGTGTCGAGACCGGTACAAGCCGGACAGATCCGCGCACGCACGAGCGTCATGTCGTCGCTTGTCAGACACCCCATGCGCAGGTATTCGCGCATATGTAATCTCATGGTGCGATCCAAACGTTCCAGCCTGCAATCGAACGTTGTACGGTGACGTCGGCCGGACTTACAGAGTGGAGATACGCCGGCCAAGGGAGGATCGACTGCCATTCTTGTGTCACCTCAACTTCACTGCCGCCGGCTCCGATCTCGGGGATCTGGTCCAGGTTGGACGTAGAAATGATGTAGTTGTAGAAAATAATGCTGACTGGTACATCCAGTTCGCTCGGCTCGGCTCGGCTCAGCTCAGCCGGTCGGCCGGCCGGCCGGTCGCTCGCTCGCTCGCTCGCTCGCTCGGGCGACCCGCAGGAGAGGGAGGAGTCTGTCACGGAGGAGACAGCGCGGGGCGGACCCGCCGCCGCGCCGGAGCCCGGATAATAATTTATGTCCCGGCTTTTACGATTCTTATCGCGTTTATTGGCGAAATTAAATCGGCTGCCGGCGCTGAGTAAACATCGCGTCCGACCGTCGCGGAATATGCTTACTCGTCGGATCCCCCCCCACTGTGATCCCTCTCCCGCCTCAAGCCCCACCCCCCGTTGACTAAAGTTTCCACGAGGCATTTTTGAAAGCTCCCCTCATCCCGGGATGATATTGACAGATCGATTATTATATCTTCCCACGCGCGATAACACGGGATCGATATCCAGTCGGCGAGAACCGGCAGAATGGCTGACGCGGTGTCTCCTCCGTTCCGCCGGTAATTACTCGGATTCTGCAAGGAACGTTGAACGCGGGCTAATCGCGGCGGGGCCATTTTTGAGATTCTTTCGGTTCGGAACTTTGCAGTTTATTCCGCTTCGCTCGCGGCCCGAGCGAGCGCACCGCGAAACACACGCCGCGGCCGCGGCGGTTACCACGCGAGATAATCAACTATGTTGTAATAGAAATGTTTGCTTTTATTACGGGGGAGGAGCGCCCGTTCTCTCGCTCGCCCGTAATAATTGCGTTCCAACTTTTATCTTTGCTTTTATTTCCGAAAAGCGGCCAACGCGCGCCGGGCGGTTCTCATGCGAGCGCGCGCGCGCGCGCGCGCGCCCGCGCGGATATTCGCCGACTCGTAAGTTTTAGAATAATGCTCCTGGTGTTACAGTTAACTTTTGATACCTTCACGGTCGGCCGCTTTCTATCCTTCACGTCGGAAGGATGTCCAGATGGTTTCATGACTATTCGCGAGGAAGGTCGTCCTGCGACAGGAGGACAATGGTGCGGCAGCGCGTGGGGCTACACCGTTTATTACAGCGAAACTCCTTCCATCAATCTGACTTTATATTTACTGCGTTTATCGGACCAGGTAAAAAATTATCTCACGCTTCGGGGGACGCGCGTGTCCTGATTTCCCGCGGCGATGCGGAACTCGCAGCGTTGCGCTTTCACGCGCGAATTGCCACCGAAAAAGGACCTTCAACGTAAATAACAGGATTCTCAAAGTCGATTGCTTTTTAGAGAGAGAGAGAGAGAGAGAGAGAGAGAGAAATTCTCTCTCTCTCTCTCTCTCTCCCTCTCTCTCCGTTTCTCTCTCGTCAAAGTTGAAACGTCGGTGTTTGTTGTTTACGTCCAACGGCCGCTCCTTGCGAGCCATTCTCAAATTGTCACTTCGCGTCAGATTAAAGTCCAGCTCTTGACGGATTATCCAGACGTCGAGTAAAAGTCGACGGTATCGTGAAAATTTGCCACATCGAGAGAGCGTGTGCGAGTTCCCGGAGGAAAGTCCTCTGCGTGCCGAAAATCCTGCGGAACTCTCGTGGGGAAAAAGAGCGGGACGCGCCGGCGCTGTTAGGCGTTACGTCAAACGATCGCGGCCCAATATCGGGGCGATTCTTCGGTTTTTCAGGGTATCGGCTACAACTTCGATTTCAAGCTGTCGTACAAGTTCCTGCGAAGAAGCGAGGCGCATCTCAGGTACGGGAACAGCAGCATGTCCACATGGCGCGGCGAGCTGGTGAACGGCACGTATTGCGATCGCGTCCTCACCAAATGCGACACTAGGGCTTGCCGGCTGCAGTCGCCGAATTATCCCGGAGTTTACCCCAGGAATGTCACTTGCTACTATCGGGTGGAGCAAAACCGCGCGCCGGTGGGTCACCGAGCTCTGCTTGCCGTTAGTCAACGGAACAGTCACAAGATACACATTAAGGACCAGGTCGTGAAGTACGACAGAAGTCAACGGGTGCTGAGGTATATTGATGATGTTTACGATGCGAAAGTTGTCGAAGTAGAGAGACAGCGGGAAGAAGAGAGGAGAGCGAGATAAAGATAGATGGACAGTGCGGTTACATCGCCTCGATTATTACAGAGAAATTACATCACTGACCCATCGTCGATATCGTTGTATTAATTGCGATTATTTCTCTGCTAGGGTATTCTCCGTTTTTCTTCCTTTCCTTTCTTTTTTTCCTTTCTTTCCTTAACGAAACGAATGAGCATGTCGAGATAGAGTAGCGAGGATGGGGGGATGAATAACGCGGATGTAGCACGAGAGCGGAAGAAGATAACGGGATTCGCAGAACGAATTCGCGAGTAAACTTGGCGTGCTTTTCAAGGGTGTGGGATCAGTGCAACGTCGTGCAAGATTACTTGACGGTGTATGACGGCAGCTCAACCTCAGACCGAGTGCTCGTAAGGCTGTGCGGAGGAGATGCGGTGCCAGACATCGTCAGCAGTCACAATACGATGTTGTTAGAGTTTCATACATCCCCGTACGACAATCCGTTTCACCCGGTGCCATTGTCTTTCCTGCCGGGATTCGAGCTCGAAGTTCAGGTAAATAACTCGAATGACGCGTTGGCACATCGCGTCGTTGCGCGGGATCGGATCACCCGTGCGTCATCGCGAATTTGAATTTCGAAGTAGTCGTCTCTATTAAAAAAAAGAAAAAGAAAAAAAGAAAACAGAAAGAAGGAGAAGAAGAAGAAGAAGACAGCTGAAGCGGAAGAGTTGTCGGTATTGCGAACGACGACTGAAAATTCGCGAAATGCTTCCCCGTCCCTCACTTCTCCGCCGACCTGATGTATCCTCCTGCATGTTTGTGCGCGCAGGTGATCTTCGTCGACGAGAAATCACGGAGCTTCGTGAAGGAGAACGACAATTGCGACTTTTATATATCCGGCGACGAGAACTCGTCGGGCATCCTGGAAAACCCGAAGCACTCTTTGCCGCCGAACACGACCTGCCGCTACCACTTCCAGGGCAAGCTCAACGAAATCGTCTGGCTGTCATTCGTCAAGTATTACGCCGCCAGCGTGGACGCTGCCGCCAACATCGACACTGCCGCCGATTGCAACGCGAAGCTCTTGATATGGGACGGCGACATCACGATGGACAAGCTCGTCGCTGTTCGAAAGGTGCGTGCACTTTAACTTTGATTTTGCTTTTGTTTCTCCTGCTTTTCTTTCACGATTACACGGCAGTGGCACGGCCCAGTGAGAGGATTTGACTTTTGCGAGTTAATGAGAAAATGAGTTTCCTCGTTTCCTCGACCATCTCGGCTCCAAACTGCGTCAACGAAACAGGCGTTCAAATCTTTCAAGTATTGGCAGCAACTCTCTGGCCCCAGATTTGGCTAAAAAAGTTATTCAGTATTTGTAACCATTTTCGTAACGAGTATCAATATAGTATACATATGTGTATATATACTAGAGATGTGTGCGAACTATTCGAATTCGAATCCGAATCCCTATGATTCAAATCCGAATAATTCGAATAGGTATGAAATACCTATTATCGTTTGTGTACATCAGGGCTACAAAACGGGCCATCTGAGCCTGTATGTTTGAATCCTTAACTTGTAATTAACTTAACTTATAATTAATAACTTAATTATAAATTACTTTAATTATTTAAATATATATTTTACTTTAAGATGACATTACAATATCAATATTCCCTTTCATATTAAAATCTTCCATCATTATTTGCATGTTTAATAGTCATATTAAATTTTTTTAATTATTTGATTCGGTTTCATTCGATTCGATTCGAATTCGAGTGAAATTTCATAGATTCGATTCGATTCGAATTCAAATTTAAAAAATGAGATTCGATTCGATTCGATTCGACATAAAAATTCTTGATTCGCACATCTCTAACATATTGCAATTACTATTGCTTTTTAATCGGAGCAACAAGAGAAGACGCAGAGTAGTGACCAAAAACAGCCATAATTTCAATAACATTAACAATCGTTTCTTCTCTTACAAGGAACATTCGCGAAGTGTGTGTCTCCGATTTCAACGAAACTTGGCATATTTATAGAGTAGCCGAAAATAAAAGACCCTTATTTTTTTTATCGGCAAAAATTGTACGACGTGAAAAACCGTACAATTTTTGTTTAAAAGGTTTTCTCCTATCTGCAATAATTCTGCAAAATAAATCGAGATAGCATGAAAGGGATGAAACTTTGAGAGATAGTATCACCCCTTAAACCTACCGGCCATTGCCGATAAAAAAAATGTGGGTCTCTTATTTTGGGCTACTCCACAAAAGTGCCATGTTTCGTCGAAATCGGAGACACACACACACACACTTCGCAGACGTTCCTTGTCGGTACAAAATAATACCTATGTATAATCCTGGGCAGAGAGGTTGATGATATTTGAGGTCCGTGATATTTTACCGTGTAATATTGCAAGACGCACCTGTCTTGCCCAATGGCAAGAATTCTCCCAAAAGGAATCCCGAAAGGAAATTCCCTCGCCGGACGGACGGACGGACGGACGGACGGATGTCTTGCGAAACTCGCGCGGAAAAGTACGCGCAACCTTTCTGCCGAAGTAACACCGCAATTTGTTTCTCTGATCGATGAAGGATAATCGATGTATTAACGAGTACGGTTAATCGGAGCGACCGTCAACGGCCGCTCACGTGACCGTCCGCGCACAATGCACACAACGCAGCGTCGGCCGACGTCAGCCGACGAGTGATCGTCGTCGCGTGACGTCGCGACCAGTCGACGTGTATCCTATCTGGACGCACGACCGTCATGGCGCGCGACCATTTTGCAGAACGTCACGCTGATGGGACAGTTCTGCAAGGACGACGTACCACGGCTCTGCGATCACAGTCTACTGCGCAACAGCAGCCGGCACACGCGGCCGTGCAGCCTCGCGGAGAGCTACGTGTCGAGCGGCAGGGACCTCACCCTGGAGCACATACTGCGCCAGGGTAGCGCGCTCTATCCCATCAGCTTCGTGCTCCGCTACGAGTTCGTGCACGAGGCGATCTCGTGCAACCACGTGTTCGCCTCGTCGTCCTCGTCGATCTCGCCCGCGTCTTCCGCCTCGTCCCTGTCGTCCTTGTCGTCGTCGTCATCGTCGTCCTCGTCGTCGTCGTCGTCGTCGTCGTCGTCGTCGTCGTCCTCGTCCTCGTCCTCCTCCTCATCCTCCTCGTCCTCCTCCTCATCCTCATCCTCGTTGTCGCTCAACGCTGGCAAATTCGCGTCGCCCAAAAGCGTGTTCTTCTACGGCCGCGGTGGCGCGCAGAATCTCAGCTGCGTGTACAGATTCGAGGCCGATCCCGACCACAGGATAGAGCTGTCCTTCGCCAGGGCGTCCTTCGGCGGCAAGAGATGCGCGTCCTACGTGGACCCACTGGTGAACCGTTGGACCTGCGACCGGCGCATGGCGGATGTTAGGAAGTTCGGCCTGGCGGACCTCGTCGTCGCGGAGTATCCTTGGCAAGGAGTCGAGCTCGTACGTACAGAGTCACAAGATCCTCTCGTTCTTCCCGTCAAGTCGAGTTTGTCAGACTTTTGGATTCTGATTCGTTCGATTTGTTTCGAACCCTTCGAGCCACGAATTTTTCCTTCTAACCGATTTCTATAAAACTTTGTATCCAACTTTGTTTCCTGGGTCGCTGATTACGAATCCGTTGTCAGATTTTCGAAATTCAAAATGGCGTAGAAATTTGGGTTTTTTAAAATACTCTTTTCGCTGTATTGAATCAGCCATCGTGAATTATGAAAATCTGATGATGGATTCATAATTAGCGATCCAAAAATCCCTCAATACCAATTTTTCTAGAAATTTAAGTTTTTTTTAAGTTTCCCGTCCGATTTATTGGATTGGTCATCTTGAATTTTGAAAATCTAATGATGGATTCGTAATGAGCGATCCAAAAAAACCCCAAATACCTAGTTTCACGGAAATTGGTTGAGTTTTTAATTTTATGTCCGCCATATTGGATCTGCCATTTTGAATTTCTAAAATCTGACAACGGATTCGTAATCAGCGCCCCAAAAAAATCCCTGCATATCAATTCCCAAATAAAAATAGTTAATTCTTCGCCTTGACATACATTTATTCTGAAAAACATTTTATTGTGCGTACTCATTTACTATTAGCAATAATAAATTTAAAGAACTTACAAGTAATCAAGTAATTATTTTACACTAGTTAGGGTCTTAAGAAGCTAGAAAATATAATTGCTAAGAAATCGATCATTAAAACTGCTCATAAAATATAAAAAACTGACGGAATATAAGTGGGTCTTTGGTCTTTGTCCGCCTGCGCCACAAAGGTTTAACACGTTTCCGAATTTCGCGGTGGTTAGCGACGCGCGGTGAGGGACACCGAGTCTTGCTAGGAAGTCACGTATAAGATGTTATCAGTCGCATTTGAGGAATCAGTTGCTCAATAATGGCAAGGTCACTTGCATAGTCGCGATGTCGGTTCGAGAGCGTATTCCTGTGGAGTGAAAAAAGCTCCGGATTCTGCTTAAATTGCTTCTCCGACTCCGAAAGTATCCACAAGGTCGTTGTAATATCTCACCGACAGGCTCGCGACTGCCTGTGCTCGAACGTGACCGACAAGATCGTCGTGCGGACGCTGACGTCGAACGTGGTGGAAGTGAGATTCACCGTCACGCTCATGAACGTCACCCAAGACTACCGGGACTTCTTCTTCGACGGAGAGTACCGCTTCGTGCCCGTGGGCGCGGAGTCCAACGAGCACGGTTGCTCCACGAGGCTGGAGGAGCGACGGCTCCGTGGCACCAGCGGCGAGATCTCCCTCAGGAGCCCGTTGCCACGCGTGATCCCCGGTGTGGCTGCGGTCGAGGAGATCCTCACGAACACGGAGGACCTCACGGCTACGCAGTGCGTGAACGAGCCGTGGCTGATCGAGCCCGAGGACGCGCGCATCAATTTCCTGTACTTGAGGACCGCCGGCTACAGCATCACCTTGGACAACGTCGAGGACTGCACGACCTTGAACCGAATCGTCGTGTACTCGGCCGCGAACACGAAGGACCGCAACGTCATCTGCCCGGAGGGCGGCGTCGATACCGCCAAGACCGTCGACTTCTTCTCCGGCGGCTGGAATTACAGCGCCGTGAACGTGAGCGTGGCGATGGCGCAGCACTCCCGCAGCTTCGTCGTGGAGTTCCTGCAGCGGGAGCCCGGCTTCTACGCGGTCACGTGGATCGCGATCTCCAAGCGGTCTCCGGCCGCGTCCAACTTGGGCGCCAACGCGTTCACCATATTGCCCGCGGAGGACTGCCCATACAGGTTGGTTCTGCGGTTTTTGTAATATAAAATTACCAAATGAGAAGGAGGGAGAGAGAGTGAATATCTTTAAAATCGAAAATTTAACTCAAAGCTTGATTTAACTTGGAATTTGGAATAAAAAGTCAGCTTTTTCTAATACTCTCTCTTTCCACTTCCAAATATTTATATCTTTTATTGTTTTGTATATTTTTACTTTTATATGTGCTTTTATCATTGTGTATATTCCTATTTTTTTTATATATTTATATATGTTTATAATATCAGATTATTCTATTCAATGAAAAGAAGTATCTCATAAATGAAATACTAGTCGCGAACGGTAGAAAGCGGTAGAAACTTATCATTCCCATCTGAGAGAGAATCGATATCTCCGTTTCTAATATTCTCATTCTTCCTCGTGTGTTCTCGGCCGTCAGGTGTCCGGAGATCCAAGCGTGCATCAGCTCAGTCCTGTGGTGCGACGGCGTGCGTCACTGTCCGTCGGGCTTCGACGAGGAAGAGGCCAACTGCTCGTACCGTTTCGGCGTGACGTTGCTGTACGTCGCGGTGGGCGCTGGTGCTCTTGGTATATTCCTGATCCTCTTGCTGGCCACCGGTTGTCTCAAGTACTGCCTCTACCGACACAAGGCGCGCAAAAAGAAGAAGAACGTCGCCCTGAACGTCAATCATCTCCACGTGAATCACACCCATCACAACAACGGCTTGACCGGTAGCCGGCTGAGCGGACGCTACAACCTAACCACGCCCCAGGAGATGTACATGGAGAATTACGGGAAGGACAGTATTTGTTGACAATACGCCATTGCCAATATCGAGACCACCGTGTGAATAGTCATGATTTTTAATGCCTACCTCGCTCTGGCCCTCCCTCACACACCGACCCCCAACCCCCACCACTAACCCCCTCGTCTAACCATCCCCCATCCCCCCATCCATCTATCGGATGATGACCGGTGAACGGACCGGAGTGTACGGCAGCCAGACACTCCCATCCTGAAAAAAGGCACACACATTTGACATACAAGGTTCAAAGGTGACGACCATCGTCAGACACAACGTACACACTCATATACACTTACGCGCACACAATACACACATTATACATACATACTCTCGCAGTAATCGTACGAAATCCCGTAGAATATAGACCCGAAGCACATAGAAGCGAGCGCACGCGAGAAAGACGCGCGTCAGCTCGGTGGACCTCGTGCGGAAGAAGAGCGGGGTTGGCGCAGGTACTCGTGGCGGTAGCGAAGAGCGAGACTACCGCGTATCCCCGTCGCGTAAAGAAGGAAGAGCGTCGAGCTTCCCTCCGCGATGGAATCGTAGCGATCGACCTTGCGTTCGCTATCGACTTGCGTACGAACGATGAGAGCTTCTTTTCGACTCTTTTCGGCCAGTATCAAGCAGCCACCAAAGCACGTCGGACGGATCGCGGCGTGGAACGCCCGCGATCCTTGCGCCGAGCGTCGAGGAGAGGAGGCGACGACGGTGGCTGCGAAGGAGGAGGAGCGCAAGAGGAGGAGAAGGTCGTGCGAATGCACCCCGTACGCTCGTGGTATATGTACATTTACGATAAACACCGCAGTATCATGGTAGGTTTAGATACACACGATTTAGGAGTAAAAAGATACGCGCGAGTGGACGCAGAGCGGCGAGAATTGGCGTTTCACGTGTATACAAAATGCTTCTGAAGACGTAGAGGGTACGCTGTTTCCGTTGAGTGCACTTCTTGTCGCTCGCAGCCGGCGTAGTAGTCGGCGATCGAGGCGATCGGGAATGTATCGTGAACGCGCACGCGACGCGGGGCATCCGACGATGAAGGTAACGAGACAGAAGGAGAAGTCCCCCCCCCGGATGGTTGACGCGCGAACGACGCGAGGTGCCGAATCTCTCTCGAACTCGCGAGCTCGCGGCGTCGAGCGTTCGCGCCTTGCCATGCCGAACAAGAGAACAAGTCCGACTCGTCCGATCGCGGACGCAGCAATCGCAAGAGATTCACGCGAAAGAGAGAGAGAGAGAGAGAGAGAGAGAGAGAGTTGCTGACACTTGCTGAGGTTCGCAATGTCGAGGCCCACCCGTGGACGTGGACGTTTTCGCGCGTAATCTACCCCGTTACGTCACCCCGTCACGACCAAGTTCTGCGCTTCACTCGTCCGACTGTCTCGATCTTTTCACATTCACGAAACCTGTTCTCCACGTCGACCCGATGATCGATTCTTTCTTTCCTTCCTTCTTTCTTTATTCTCTTGTTCCTTTCTTTCTCGCTTGCTTGCTTTCTCTTCTTTGACATTTTCTTTTCGCGTTGTCCAACGACTGCCGGCTACTTAAACTTCCATAGGTGATTCACGGAGAGGACGCTATAATACGTAACACGTAGATAACACTCGCATAGTCTAAGCTCGGTATCGAAATGCGCATGGCTCGAATGAGGCTTAAGTACCCATGTGTGACTAACTAATTGAATGCCGAAGAAGCGTATACATCGTAATCCAGTTACGAATGTGTGTGTTTGAGCAAAAGTATATACATACACAAACACATCTATAGACATATGACACACACATAACACACACGCGCATGCGCGCGCGCGCGCGCGGAAATACATATACGTGCGCACGAGAGTTTCTCTACGCGTTAGCCTATTATATACACTCGTGCAATGTATGGCAAAGCGCGTATCTAACGTACGTCTGTATGCTGTGATAGAGGTAAACGTATCAACAATCGGAAATAAATCTCTCGCGTGAACTCACGTTCAAATATGCGCATTTTCAGAGCCAAGGCCACGACCGAAGGCCAAGCGCGAAAAGCCTCTCAACGCTCACCCTCGACGACGTCGATATCTTAACGCGGTCAAACGTGTCGCTCTTAGGTCACATTACGTGTTCATAGAAAGGTACGCGATACATGGTGCAAGATTCAAGATATGTCTTGAGAGAGAATAAGGGAGAGAGAGAGAGAGAGAGAGAGAGAGAGAGAGGGGGAGAGAGGTAAAGGAAAAAAGAGAGAAAGAGATTCGAACGAAATTGAACGAGGCGAATTTATATTGAGCCATCGGACGAAATAACGATGTTAGTCTCGGCAAAATGTGGAAGTTAATGGACTTGACACAAATCATCAATTAAAGCGGGAGAAAATATTCGACTCTGCTCGGGAACGCCGACTTCACAGCGAACGGTTTTACATCGCGCATCTCCCGCACCATCGAAATGTTGCTTACCACGTCGTACGTGAAGAGAGCATTGTGCATTACGCAATAACGAGCTATTATCCCAACTTAATGCCGCGGATGTTTATTTTCTGTCATTTTTGCTGATCAAGGACTTGGTCCGGAATTGTATTCGAGACTCTTCACTGGTCCCGCAAAAAGCTTCGAGTTCGACGGAATCTGCAGGATTATTATTGCGGCACAACAATTTCGACTCGTGAATGTCTCTCGTCTATTTCCGGAGCGAATTCGCTCACGCCGTTATTCCTACCGATGGCTCGCACATTGTGCAATTTTATAAGAAGACAACAATCAACGCGTTCAGACTTGCCCGCTGTTCTCAGTGTCCTTTTTTAAGCGCCGATTGATATAGCCCACTCCGAGTGATACACCCCTCCGTACTTTTCTAAACTTGTACACAACCCGCGTCACGTAATATTTCTCCGCAGACACGCGTGGATCGCATTAAGGTCTCTCCTCCGTCGGCCCCACGAATCGCTCCGTGAATAATTCGCTGCCCGAGAAACGGTCTACCTATGCGAATACTGCCGCAGCTATCGTTTATTTTTCGAGTTTTGTAAGTCTCTTTCTATCTGTAGCCGAATGCGAAAGCTGTTCGAGAAAAAGAGAGAGCGAGAGAGAGAGAGAGAGTGTATGTGTGTGAGTGTGCGTGTGGGTGTGCGTGTGCACTACGACGTTCTATACGCTGTAAAACGCGCAAGGAATCCAAAATGCGAATATAACACATATACTAGCGAATAACGTATAGCCGCGCCATCGGAAGCGAGAGGTGCGCGCACGCCAAACTCGATGTGTTAATCGCGCGATTGCAATATTAAAAAGACACGTTAAAATTTAACTCTAACATATCGAAGGTTCGAAATTAATTTAAGCGCGCCTCCATCTACTTACCTTGTAGCGAGACTGAAGTAGCGATCACGTTTTTCACTAACGCGAGGCGGGCTCCTTTGGAAAAAAAGAAAAGAACGAGAGAGAGAGAGAGAGAGAGAGAGAAAGGAAAGATTCTCCTGACTCTTCTTTTTTACATGAAGTTACTTCGCCGAGACACGAGGAAGATGAAGAGAGAAAAAGAAAACGCAAAGGAGACAGAGAGAGAGAGAGAGAGAGAGAGAGAGAGAGAGAGAGAGAGAGAGAGAGAGAGAGAGAGAGAGAGAGAGTGAGGGAGAGAGAGAGAAGAGAAACCGTTTGTCGCGGAATTTTTTATATAACTTCGAGCCGATACGCTCGGTTCTTGCAGTTCACGATAAAGCTGTCTATAAATAAACAAACAGACGCGAAAGATGGAGAGTCTGTTGCCCTCTCGGCGACGAAACCGACGTAATAAATATTGCGGGGCACATCGTTATTTTCATTCGCAAGGGACGGCGACGGTTCATATTAACGTGCGTATCTTCCTTGGCGCGCGAACGCCGCGGTCTTTAAAAAGTAGGACGCGGCACGCGTGCAGAGTCATTCATTCTCTGTCTCGGAATCGCGAAACGGCACCGTGTGTTCGGCCTCACCGACGGAACGGAAGGAGGATCCGTCGCGTGTGTGGAGCGTTCGCACTCCGAGGACCGCTAATTATTATGCAAGGGCGCGCGAGTTTTCGCGCGATCGCCGCGTCGCGCTCGATCGAGAGGATGCGTCCCTACGATACGAAGGAAAAAAAGAAAAAAAGCTATAGTAATATGCATGTATGTAAGAGAACGTACACGAAAAAAAATGCCGTAGCACAAACCAGACTCGCACACACGTAGCTAACTGAAAAAGTAAAAGGAAAAAAAAAATTACAGAAGACAGTGGATGGTAAGAATATTGAATCAAAGAGGCCTTGATTCAACGACGTTTCTAAGCAAGTATTACGCGTTACACGATGTATTGTAATCCCGTGTTTATAATTTTAATAAAATACCATCGCGTTAAAGAAACCCAGCAGATCAGCCGTGTCGCAGGTGCGTTATTGATTCATCATCATCATCATCATCATCATCGTCATCGTCATCGTCGTCATCGTTGTCGTTGTCGTCGTCGTTGTCGTTATCATCATCGTCAACATCATTGTTTTCCGTCTCGACCGAACTCTATGAGTTTCTTCTTCTTCCCTCGAGGTAGGTCCAGACTTGTGTTGTATCACCGTATCGTATCATGATCGCGTATCGTAATCAGCCAAGTGTGGACGGGACATTGTATCGTGTCTGCGTATCAAGATAATACGGCAGGAACGAAACGACTGTGATCGACTTGTAGTCGGTATTGTTGGTGGGTGCTCCGCTGCGGCGGAAGCACCTATTAATCGAAAATACTTATGGCGATAATTGTGGCGATAATGATGATGAAGATATTCTATCTTCTTTCTGCACTGCTCAGCCGATCTTCCGGTGTCACGTGTCGGGTTGCCAGATGCAAAATGACTATTTCCGGGACATTTTTTAGACGACGATTGAAAAATAGGTTGTTAGAGAATTGTAGTTCAATTTGAGAGATAGAGAGGTAAGACGGTTAAAAGATGTCGTTGCGTAGTCGCAATAAATAAATATATGAATTAGGTATCAGCAGAGAGAAGTGTAGATATAAACCGTACGATTGACTTTTTTCTTTTACTATACAAATGGCTTACTTGACATCAATATTCTCAGATGGCACGTCCAATCTTTTGGCCTTACAAATCCCGATGATTACTCTCACATTTCTCTCTAGTACCAGTTAAAAACATGAATATTATGATTATAATTTTATTTAAATTCTAATTTTTCGGGACAAAAGACTGAAATTCTGAGACACGAAACAAACTTCAAAATTTTTCGGGACAATCCCGGAAAATCCCGGCTATCTGATAACCCCAGTCACGTACGATTTCCTCCCATGCATCATTTCTCCTTAATCTATTAAAATGATGGGGATCGCTGGATCCCAAAGAGTACTTTTTTGTTTATAAAAATCTGTTAATTCTATCACTTTCTCTTGTGACCACTCCATCAACCATGATCGCAAGATACGAAGTGATACAACTGAATAAAACGAGAGATCCCATGTTGGCAGATCGATGCAGGATCTGGACAGGATAAGTCACGTCTGCACTCATTGCATCCGTATCACGTATCATTTCTTTCATGTTCGCCGAAATACCGACTAGAGATGTGCGAATCAAGATTTTTTATGTCGAATCGAATCGAATCGAATCGAATCTCATTTTTTAAATTCGAATTCGAATCGAATCAAATCTATGAAATTTCACTTGAATTCGAATCGAATCGAATGAAATCGAATCGAATTATTAAAAAATTTAACATGACTATTAAACATGCAAATAATGATGGAAGATTTTAATATGAAAGGAAATATCGATATTGTAATATCATCTTAAAGTAAAATATATATTTAAATAATTAAAGTAATTTATAATTAAGTGTTAATTATAAGTTAAGTTAATTACAAGTTAAGGATTCAAACATACAAGCCCAGACATACGGCCCGTTTTGTAGCTGATGCACGCAATCGATGATGTATTTCATTCCTATTCGAATTATTCGGATTCGAATCATAGGGATTCGGATTCGAATTCGAATAGTTCGCACATCTCTAATACCGACCAAGTCGATGGTACTCCTAGCGTGTCTACGTTTCATTTCTTGGATGTTTCAGCGAAAAACCGACTTCAAGTCGATCGTACCTGCGTATCACCTTGATACACAGATACAATACGCAAAAACGACACAGTGTCCCATTCACTCTTGCCGATTATGATACGATGCGAGGATGCGACACAAGTTTGGATGTGGTTTACGGCATCTCATTCACATTTGGCCGATCATGATACGCAATTATGAAACGATATGATGATACGACACAAATCTGGAGCCACCTTTACGTGCTCTCACTCGCGAGGGAGAATAGCAGCACGTACAGATGAAAAACGCGATCGAGTGGCCGGAATGTTCGTGGGATCAATCTGATGATTCAACGTCATTAGCTGGCCTAAAATACGAGTCTCGACTTATATTCCGATCATCTTGTACTTTGGTTTCTTCGTGTTTTCTCCCCCCAGCAAGCCAGCGAACCGAACGCGCGGTTATCTCACGGAAAAAACAACAGATGAGGTTGCGCGTGTACGCAGTGAATACAAAGCACCAATCAACAGTAACATTACATCGATGCTGTAGCTTCCTATTCGACAATGTAACTGTTTACTTACAAACATGCTGTATGGGACTTATATTGTTCAATGAGAAATGGTAACATTGATGTAACACTATTGTGTTAGTTAGCTTCTTCACCAAGTATAATCCTAACAAATAACACTACCCAACTGTCACTCACCAATCGGAATGAAACTTTGCTCTCTTGTAAAGCATTGAAAAATATTGAAAATCCGTTTTTTTATTTTTCCTCAAAATGCTTTCTAACCCCTTGACTGTCGGAGGCAAATTGTACCTTGTGGAACAAAAATGCTTTGACACAAAGTAACTCTGATGGTGATAAAGCTCGGTATTCTAAGGTTTTTTGAGTCGCTAAATCCGAATATGATATCAAAATTTATTAAATTCAAAATGGCGAATCCAAAATATGGCGGACACCAATTTAAAAAAATCAATATATTTTCATAAAACTCGGTATCCTGGGGTTTTTCGGATCGCTGAATCGGAATATGATATCAAAATTACAAAATTAGGACACCAAGTTTTATAAAAACATGTTGATTTTTCGAAATTGGTGTCAACCAAGCACGTTGGATCCGCCATTTTCAGTTTTGAAATTTTGATATATTCGGATTCAGCAATCCAAAAAATCTTAGAATACCGAGTTTTATGACCATCAGAGTTACTTTGTGCCAACGCATTTTTGGTCCATAAGGTACAATTTGCCTCCGATAGTCAAGGGGTTGGAAAGCGTTTTGAGGAAAAATAAAAAAAACAGATTTTTCAATGCTTTATAAGAGTGCAAAGTTTCATTCCGATTGGTGAGTGACAGTTGGGTAGTGTTACTTGTAAGATATGTACATTCGTTATCGAGGAACGAAGACGAGCGGAGAAACGTCGTGTCTGTATAATGAGAATTGAACCGAATTGAATTAACAAGTTATTTTTCACAGTGGCTTCCGGAAAACCGCTTGAACGCGTCTCTTCTCAGATGCAGCTTGGCATGCAGGGAACATGCTATGAAAGGAAGTTCTGGAAATCTTTTTTATCGGAGTTTTTAAGAAACGAGCTCCCTCATCGGACCACCGAACCGTGCATTCCAAACTGCACAGAGGAATCGTGTTCAAACTTCTGAACCCTTCTGAAGCTCAGTGTACACAATTCACTGTGTAAAGGACGCGTAGCGTAGAAGTCGATACAGACGTATTTCTCCTCCCGTATCGTCCGGCCGAACTTTCCCGGCAAGATTTCGTCCATCGCGAAGGTCCTTTTGCAATCGCGAGGATAAAGCACGGGTAAAACGCCCGGGGAGCGGGCGGTCCTCCGGGAGTCTCTGTCATCCATATTCCAGCCCTAATTCAAGTTTATAAATCCGCGTCGTCGCCGCGCGTCTCGCGAAATCTTCCACCTTCGACCTCACGAGCTCCACTCTGTCGAGCGATACATCTCCGTGTGGTGGATTTTTTTATACACGAAAGTGTTACGACGCGCGCGTCGAGAGAGACAGAGAGAGGGGAGAATAAAAGCGGCGCTAATTTACGACACAGAGAAGACAGCGCGGAGAACGATCTCTTTTTTCTTCTTCCCCCGCGACGGCATTATTATTCGCGTGACGTGTGTTCGTTTTTGCAGCTCTTTACCAGCACTTCGCGCGCGCGCAACACGTATGAATAAAGATATTACAATACTCTCGCTTCCGTGCGAGCAAGAAGCTCGCGGTATGAGCGCATATATACCCACACAGAGGCATACGAATAAACAGGAATATTTACATCTATCTGCAAAAGCAAACGCTCCGAGAACGCAATCAAGCCGCTCGATAATTTCCTCCTTTTCTCCCCGGGAGGGAAAAAGAGAGAAAGAGATCTCCAAGAATTCTCTCTCTTTCTCTCTCTCTCTCTCTCTCTCTCTCTTCTCTTCTCCCCCTCTTCCTCTCTCTCCCTCTTGCGTTTCGCTCTCCTCGGTAAGTATCGACACATTACTGTGTATCGCGCGAATATATTCGTCCGGGAAGATCCGTCGAAGCGACAGATCAGTGTCAAACGCGAAGTCAAATGGCTCGTGATAAAAGCGGCTAATTATTCATACGAGAATGTAAAATACGACTTTCACGCGCGATTTAACTTTAAAATAAACGCTTTTATCTCCGCGCATACACACGCGCGCGCGCGCGCGCTCTTCGGCGGGACGAAAGGGGTGCGCGGTAGGAAGGGTCAAGGGGGATTTCACTAAGAGAGCAGCTTTTCGAGCGTGTCGAGATCGCTTTTATTCATACAACCCGATAAATTCATACTGCATAAGACATACGCGCATTGTATTGCACGTATCGCATTGTCGCGACATCACGGCATCGACATCGACGTTGACGTCGCTCGCCCGCTACTACGATGTTCGGCTCTTTTCCCGACGTTCCTCCGCCACCTGTCAATTTTCCGCCGGGGGAGCATGCAGGGGGGCAGGGGAGGAAGAAACGTCATTGTCTCATAACCTGACAGATTTATTATCGCGCACTGCACGTCTCGCTCCTTGAAATATTCATCGCGTCGCGTCGCGTCCAATACAGCGTACTCGCGAGACGACGATCACAACGACGACGACGACGACGACGACGACGACGACGACGACGACGACGAGGACGAGAAGGAAGAAGGACGGATCCTGCGTGTCGAATGTCCAGAGGAAGTGCGCCGTGCGCCGACGCGACGCCGCAGCGCGACAAGTTGGAACCGCCGCGGTCGCTGCAAGATGTCGAGGACGCGGAGATGATTTGGGACATGATCGCCAAGCGATTCCCGAACGCGGCGCCGTTGCTCTGCGAGATGGAGACAGTGATCGAACGCGCGGAGGACCTGCTGCAGCAGCTCCGAGCGGCGCCTTGTGCTCAAGGTCAAGTTGGTACGCGATGTCTCCATCGAGGATCCCCCGAGCCGAGAACCGGGAGGATCCTCCCGTCGTGCGGCACTGCGGTCGCCCGCAGCGCGTTTAATCTCGCGACGGGGAAGTTTTTGTAATTTAATTTAATTCCGCGCTCCTCAAGTATCGGCTCTCGAGCGTGAAATTAATGGTTGCAAAAGCGCGATTCCGCGAGTCGTACATCAGGAAGATCCTTTCGTCGCGCTATCACGGCGCGTCGCGAGATCTGCAGACGGCGATCTCTCGAAGCGCGCTTAATCTCGCGCGATGGAAGGAGAAAAATTTTCATTTTTAATTCAATTTACTTCCGCGCTTTTCGAGTATCGGCTGCCGAGCGTGAAATTAATGGCTACGATAGCGCGATCGAATTATGCAAACAGCCACGCGCGCGCGTGGCTACAATCAGCCGTGCTAACTCGATTGTAATTATCACGCTATCAAACAGTGTACGTTTATTATATTGTACGACGGAAAACAATGATTTACTCACCGGGGAGAGAGTTTGTCTTTCGCGGGGACGTGATATATTCGCGAACAGCGAGCGTTTGTCACCGCGATCGAATCGTGGTTTCGTCGGCCGAATCATCGTCCGCGATGATCTTTTGTTTGATTTCGCCGATGAAGCGCGTAATTTAATAGGGTAATTTTATTTGCGGGAATTTATGTCGCGCGAATTCTCCTCTCGTCGGGCCCACCGCTCAGCCGGTCAGCTTGCGTCCTCATTTATAACGCGCTATTGTTCGTCAAGCTATGAACGCTTGTTAATTTGACTTTTCAATAATTTAATCTCAATTCCCGAGCAAATGTCGGCTCAGCCGAGAAGAGTTCGGTTCGATTTTCAGCTTTCTTCGACGGCGGGCCAACTTTTACAACGAAAATGTTGTCACTACTCGATGGCGATTGTTCGCTTGATGAATTTGTCTCTCTATCGGAATGCAACAAAAAGCTCAATTTTCCAGACGGAGAATGTCATGCTTCACTCGGAGAAACCGAGCTCTCCTCTCTGATCGACTCGATATATCCTCGCCGACAATCTTCAAAAATTTACTACGTCGTAGTATCACTTAATCCGAGCTAGTTGACGGGGCGCGTGACTCTCGCTCGACATTGCAGACACGTCTGGCTCGTTTCACACTCCGGATTCGCAGGAGTCCAACACGACGATCTCGATGGTCTCCGACATGGAGGAAACCGAGGAAACGAACGTACGTTGAACGAACCGCGCCGAGCCGAGTCAAGGCCCGTCACTCGCTCCTTATCATCGTGTGTGTTCTCGTGTTAGCGGAAATGAAAAAAATACATTCTCCAAGGTGGCGGACCAGGTAGGCGCTGAGCAGGCGGTCGAGAGGGGGGCGCCGGAGGAGGCGCGAGTCACGGTGCACGTTCGACGTGATCAGCAAGACCGGCAGGTGGAGGAACATCCGGACGTGGGATATCATTTGAATTCAGCGATGAGGCTCGATGAGGTCGTTCAACATTTCAAAACGAGTTCGACGAAGTGTCAGAGCTCCCAGGGGGAATCAGACGCGAATGTAACAGATAGCGGCGACAAACGAATCGACGCCGGTTCCGACGAAAGTGAGTGATGCGTCGCTTGCAGACGGGTATGAGACAAGGAAGGAAGAGAAAGGAGCGGAGGGAGCGGCAGCACTTCGCGCGCAGAGACTTCGCACTTTATTAAGATCGTCCGGATGTGATTCATTAGGACTGGCGGAGACGATGGCGGAGAAGAGCAGCTTAGAGGGCTGGACGAAAGCGGTTGATAACGCGCTGCGGCAGTGGCGCGACGACGTGGAAAATGTCGATGCGTCCGGTATGTGCGGGACGTTTTCTCTCGAGTCTCGCGATTCCAAGTTTTGTTTGTGCGAAATATCATTTGCGCCAATGGCTAATTTGCAATTAGATTCAAATTTATAATTTATGAACGCATTTGTTTGTTATTCGTAATTAGATTTGCATCATAAGCTACCATCTAAACCCATGGTTGAATCTATTCATAATTCATAATTACATTAAATTATAATATAATGTACAATTAGATCCCAATTAGACACACAATTAGATGTGTATACATGTATAATTTAATTCTAGTCGCACATTTATATTATAAATTTTCAATATAAATTTTTGTTACATATAAATTTAAATTAGATCAAGTCCTGGTATTTAGCGACAGCTCTTACTACCTGTCATTCTTACCGGTTGTTCAAACGGCCTCCGAAATATCGTTCTCTGCTTGTCGGTGCAGGCGATAACAATTTGGAAACTCGACCGGACGTAGACGGAAACACGGACGATCGTACGTCGGCGATCCCCAATGACGGCGGATGTGAAAAGACCACTCGCCAGTCCTGTGAACCTAACGATGTGAAAGTCACGAAAAGCGGTTTGCAGGTATATACGTACGTTCGCACATCATCCGATTTATCATTTGAGCTACATATTTTAGAAAATACTTGACCGATATTCATGAAACTTGGTGTAAAGGGGTTTTGTGCAATGTTCTTTTCGAGTTTAGAGCCAAAAATTCAAAATTCACAATTGCAGACCAAATATGGCCGCCGCAAAACATTTTGACAATGCAAATATTGTTCCAAATCTATGGTTATATTACAAGGGAATTTGAAGGCGCTCTTTTCAATTCTGTAGAGAAAAACTCAAAATTCAAGATAACGGATCGAATACGGCTACCGTTGAAATGGTGAGAAATAGAAATATAATTCAATATTCATGAAACAGAGTTTTTGGTGATGATGTTTTATAATGTAAAATCAAAAATCCGAAATTCAAGCTGACAGATGCAATGTGTGGTCTGAAAATGCAAATGTTGTTTGAAACTCATGAAATTCATATTACAAGGATTTTTGTGATGTTCTCCTCGAATTTAGGAATTTAATTTAAGAAGAATAATCATACACTAATGAATTAAGAAACGTACTGGCTCAAGAATATCCAGTTTCGCTTTTCTCGGAGCTCATTAGTGCCACATAAACATATTGTTAGTAGCAGACTTAAATCCTATATTTAAACTATGTAGAATAAGAAAATATTGGGGACTTGAATAAGTTCTCGCTGTTTCCCGACAGATGATGTCATCTTAGCCTTTTTGGATCGGGCAATACTATAGTCAACTTCATCGTGAAGTTCCATCACCGAGGCTCGAGGTGACAGTATATGTTATTCCGTCGAAGCGTAAACAACATATTTTTTCATAGCGTTAAACATGTCGAATTTCGTGCCAAAAAAAAAATATTTGCGGGGAATTCTACTGCATTACTTTTTTCAAAAAAAATCTGCAGCTGAAACACATAGAATTCTTGTGGAGACTTACGGCGACTTACGGCTCTGTCGGAAACAACATGCAGAGATTGGTTTAGACACTTTAAAAATAACGATTTTGATGTTGAAGATAAAGAACACTCTGGCGCACCGAAAAAGTTTGAAGACGAAGGATTGGAAGCATCATTACTCGATGAAGACCCATGTCAGGCGCAAAATGAACTTGCAGAATCATTAGGAGTTGATCACACAACAGTTGCCAAACGTTTAAAAGCATTAGGAATGCAATCAAAAGCAAGGAAATTGGGTGCCGTACGAATTGAAGCCGAGAGACGTCGAATGGAGTTTTTTCAGCTGCTCCAACGGCAGAAAAGGAAAGGTTTTTTGCATCGTATCGTGACTGCGCGATGAAAAGTGGATACACTACGATAACCCGAAGCGTAAAAAATCGTGGGGTAAGCCCGGCCATGCATCAACATCGACGGCAAAGCCGAATATCCATGGTTCCAGGCTCATGCTCTGTATTTGGTGGGATCAGCTGGGTGTAGTATATTATGAGCTCCTCAAACCCAATGAAACCGTCACGGGAGATCGCTATCGATTACAATTGATGCGCTTGAGCCGAGCATTGAAGGAAAAAAGGGTCGCAATACGAGAAGAGACACGACAAAGTAATTTTGCAGCATGACAACGTTCGGCCACATGTTGCAAAACCGGTCAAAACCTACTTGGAAACGCGCAAATGGGAAGTCCTACCCCACCCACGGCGGGTATACGGTGAATACGGCATTCACCGGACATTGCTCCTTCCGATTACCACTTGTTCCGATCGATGACTCATGGCCTGGCTGAGCAGCACTTTCATTCTTATGAAGATGCCAAAAAATGGGTCGATTCGTGGATAACCTCAAAAGATGAGTCGTTCCTTCGATATGGTATTCGTATGCTGCTAGAAAGATGGGAGAAAGTAGTGGCTAGCGATGGACAGTACTCTCAATTACATATTCTTTACTAATTTTTTTAAAATAAAGCATTCATTTTCACGAGAAAACAGCGAGAACTTATTCAAGTCCCCAATATTTACATCCATTTATAACCTCTGCCATTCCTGAAGTATTGAAAACTGTATCTATTCAGTTTTCGTCGTATTTTCCTCTAATTCTGATGAAGACTGTGAAATAGTCGTTCAGATGTTGAGCGGGAATTGGGATAGCGGCTAAAAAGCGTGCCTTACCAAAAAAAAGATCAGATTAGTGTAGCAACGTGGGAACAACATCCTACAACACCGACTTTGCCCGACTTTGCAATTGCAGGTATATCCAATAATGGCATCAATTCCAGCCGTTATTGTTTTATCGACTAGCAGGTAGATAAAATACTTAACAGAATTAGAGTGCCTAAAACGTAAGCGATCTTTGAATAGAATGCCATTTAAATGCCATTTAAAGTCTACATCTATTCCGTATTTACGGTAGTTAATGTGTATAGTTTCCTTAGCTACTTCAAACTCAAAATCTCTCATTTTATTCAAGTGATCCGCATAGTAACTCCGCGTCATTTTTATTTAATATTTGCCACATGTGCATACAATTGAAGCTGAGAATCATCAAGTTGGGGAAAGAAGTCTATTTCAAGAGCCTCAATACGTTGGAAGAATACGATTTTCGTACATTGAAGTTTTCTTCTCGAACTAATAAAGAGAGGACATTGTCTCTGTTCGAAAAGCTAAGCCATCAAAAACTGATGTTTCATGAATATTAAATTATATTTCCATTTCTGACCGTTTCAACGGTAGCTGTATTCGATCCGTTATCTTGAATTTTGCGTTATTCTCTACATATGTAGCTAAAATATAAGAAGAGATTATGCGTATATGCTTCCTGTCGTCAAAGGATAAAACGAACTGAACTTTGTTCATTTTAACAATGTTCCCAACACTTCGGGATGAAATAAATGTCACTTTTCTTTCTTAAATAGTCCAAATAACAATTCTGCAGTACGTTTCCACTTTACACTTGCAGACCAAAAATGGCCTCTTTTTAACATCCCCCTTTCGTCTATTGCTCTTCAACCTTGCGCCGACATTTATTGGACGAGCTCATAGAATTCGTATGTCGACAGCGCGTAACGAACACATTACTGCTAGCAAACATTCAGCGCAAACTCCGCCGGCAGGAGAGCGATCTCATCGCATGATTTTAACCTCGACAGCTGTCACTGCTATTCGCGACACCGAAAAATTCCGTAATTTTCCTTTGCCGGAACATCCACAGGACAACGTCGCGGAGAGTTTCACGGTGACCGCGAGCCGCCGCTCGCCACTGGCCATTCTCCAGGAATACGCGAAGCGGTGCAAGGTGTCAATCAAATACCAGTGCAAGCCAAAGCCGAATCTGTATGTGATCAACGGTGACCTTTGCGGATTCAGCGGTAACGCTTTATGTACACAACGGGCCGCTACGTAACAAGTGGGCTAAGCCGCACGTTATCACTTGTTACGTTAAGCTCGTCAAATATCTCGCCTCCTCGCGCGCGCGCGTCTATCGTGGTGCTTCTGTTTAACCCTTTGATGCATGGTGATAACTACCTACATTATCACCTAAACTTCTTTACTTTTTGCCCGTTTATTATCTAATTAACGCATTTAGATCGGTTTTTTGGCATTTTTCTGCTATCTTAGGGATAGAAGAATATAAAAAAATAGTTTATGAGGACATGTTATTTATTGGAAAAGTTTTATAAATAAACAAAGAGCAAAAAAACCCATTTTTTTCGCGATCAGCGACCCACAAAACCAAATGGTGTATACCAAATTTCATAAATAACGGATCAACAAAAAAATGTATGCTTCAAAGGGTTAATATTCCCTCGAACGTCGTAAGTTCTTGCGTAACTCGCCGTTCCGCGACACCGCGAGACCGCGAGACCGCGAGAGCGCGTAACGCTTCCTCGTTCAATGAACGCTACTTGGATAATGTGCCAGCGATGTCTTGCGCCGCGACTCAGGCTCTGGCCAAGAGCGAATTGGCAGCGAAAATATTGTGGATGGTGGCCGAGCGTCAGATGGATGGCCCGAAACTCTTGTCGTCCGCCTGCGGATTATCGGATCTCTCGCGGGAGGAGTAAGTACTCTCGCGGCGAGAGAGCGACGCGGTGAAAGCGGAGCGCGAATTTTCGCGACCTCTCGACCTGCACCGACCCTGCACCGAGAGAAAAGAGAGAAAAGAGAGATGGTTGATGCTGCTGAAACTGTAGTAGATTTTTCGGCCGCAATTGTACACCCCCTCTTGCGTTGTTTCAACAAAAATGTAGCTGGCGGTTATTATCGCCAACGTTATCGTGACACTTGCTCCGCGAAAGGAGCTCTGACATAGAGTTCCAAATAGCAGACATCTTTCTCTCGGTGTGTGCGCGAAGAGACATTCCTCGTCGGCGAGCAGGCAATCAGGTCGTGACTCGTGTCGTGAAAATTCGAGCTCGCGTCTCGAGGAAGACTCTCGTCCAAAAGTCAGCCCGCTCTCCGTTCTCTGATCCTTCAATCCGCCTCTGCTGTTCCCTTCGTCAGGATGTTGGAGATAATAGCGTTTAATCAGGACAAGCTGAAGAACGCGTGGCAGAAGGTCTTCAAGTTCTGCCTCGAGAGAGGAAAGCCCGCTCCGGAATACACGATTTGCAACTCGACGACGAATCAAGGATTCGTCTACACGGCTCAGTGCATGGCTTTGGGTTACGTCGGGATCGGTACGTTATCCTTTCTCGTCGTCACGAATTTTCTAAGAAGAATCGCCGCAAAATGTCGTGTGTATGTGTGTGTGTGCGCGAGGAAAATATCGACATTCTCTCCGATTTCATTTATTATCCTTACGTTTCGCGTGTATTAGCGGATTTGCAGGAATAATAACGTATCCTACGATACCTTTTAGGACAAGGTTTGAGGAAAGACAGCGCCAAGATCGCGGCCGCCGAAAACTTATATCGACGATACATCCTCAAAATGGAGGAACAGATGACGTGAGCCGACGAGAGGCTCGCGCGTTTTGGCGCCATTTATCCGAGTGCACTACAATCTACATTTTTTACCCGTTCCTTCTACGGTGAGAAAAATTTCAATAAACATCGACACAAAAAGCGACTACCGGGATCTCTTTTGTGTGGTCTTTTTCGTTACGCTCGTGACGGATTTACTAGAATCGGATTTACGAAATTACGCGTGCACACACGCGAGAGTGAGTTTGCGGGAAAATTGAAGCAAGAAAAGCAGAGGGAATATTCAGGCAGAGGATGAATTCGCTACAGTCTCCATTGTTGTTCTAATGACTACGCGTCGTCACTCGTTTTTCCTCGCGAGGCGCACTTGCAACGCTATCATGGTATTTTGGTGACGATCCAAGGCAGCTTGCCGGTTTTCTTGAAGGACCAGTAATCGTACAAGAGCTTGCCAAGCACGAGGAATATTAATGACGCCAATATGACGTTCAAAATGTCGAGAGGATGGAGCCAAGAATCCTCGTCCGGCGTAATGCAAATCTCCGTTCGCGTAAGATCGCGGATCTGAAAGTCGTTTTATATTATTAAATTGAAAGACGCAACGAAAGACGGGGGGAGGGGGAGAGAAAGAGAGAACGACCGGTCTCGATTGCATTATTCATCAGTTCTCTGTTTCTCGATAATTGTGAATCGAAGGATAAAAGACACGCCAGGCGCTCTCGCGACTGCCGTTCGCGTACCTGCTTGTTCGCGTTGTCGTTATCGCTCTCGGGGGCGCACCTCACGTCGTTGATATCCTTCACCAGATTCGGATATCTAATCAGCAGCACCTGTAAGGATCACACCAGACCGACTTGACAGAGTTCGAGGATCTGCACCTCCTAATTTCGAATTGTACAACGTCGCGGAGAGACTCGCGCGGGAGAAAAATAAAGAAAAAATGAAGTATCCGGAATTGCGAGTCGATCTTTTCGAGTTGGAAATTATCTCCTATTCTCCTTCTGTATTCCTTCATTTTTGTTCCCTCGTAACACAAAGTACCGCACCGAGACAGATGAAATACGCAGCTTGGATTAACCGAAGCGGCGACCGCCCTTGTAGGAGAAGTATTAAACTGGCTGTAATAAACTAGTGCTCGTGTGAGTAATAAAATCACTGAGCAACAATAATTTATTGCTGGTCGATTTATTACTCTCTTTCTACAAGGGCGATCGGCGGAACGATCCGAAGTCCGCGCGAAAATCCGGCCGGAATCGTACCTGAAAGCTCGGCGTAAAGTGACAGTCGCACGTCCACGAGTTATTACCGAGGTACAGGCTGGCCGCGTTGCCGTTGTGCAGAACGTTCTCCAAGGCGTAAGTAGGCAACTGAAAGACGCAGCGAGTCATAAAGCGTGCGACATAAGGTTGTAATCTGCGCGACTCACGCGCGCATATAAAATACGCGCGCGCGAGCTGCTACCGAGGCGCGACCGCGGCGTCCTTGCCGTGATACCCTCTCCTTAAATCGCATGCATCTCGTTTCTCCGTCGCCTCTCGAGCCGCGTCACGTCCTGCCGTCACGATCGATGCTTCGATTAATCTGCTCTGCACGCATCAAGTCGCTTTGCGCCGCGGTTTCTATCGCGCCCAGAACGGCCCAAAGCGGACTTTCTTGGCGCGCGCGAGCGCGATGCCCGAGGACGACGGCGAATCTCGATACGTCGGTCGAACTAACGTCGCTGAGTCTGTTCCCCCGAAGATTAAGCAGCCGAAAGCGATCCAACCATTCCGACCCTTCCAGCCGGACGATAGACTCCACCAGATTGTCGTCCACGTAAAGGTCCAGCACCGACTCGTATGCGGGATTCGTCGTGAGCGGAGTTAGATCCCTGATCTGCGGCAAACACGAGATGATTAAGGACATCGCAACTCCGTTGCCCGCGTACCGCTGAGTCGCACCGCGAGGACCTTCACCTCGGGCTCGCACTGAGCGATCAGCGCGATGCATTGCACGTTTATACGATTACACTCAAAAATAAGTATTCTATTTTGTAATGACATTTTTTCCATAGTCTCATATTCTAAGCGAAGACTTTTACAAGAAAAGGATTTTTTTCCGATAAAGCGATTACAGTGAACCATTCACCTAAAATCTGTTAGATATTATTCTGTTTTCCTCTTGTATCAAGAGAATGTTCTCTTATATCAATTAATTTTCCCCTTATATCAAGAAGAACGCTTGTCGGCGTTTTCTTTCCCATCTAATCACACAGACTCTCTCTCTCTCTCTCACTTTCTCCCCCCTCCCCCTCCCCCTCTCTCTTTCTCCATCTCTCCCTCCCTCCCTTCCCCGCTCTCCCCCTCTCTCCCTCCCTCTCCCCCTTCTCTCCGTCTCTCCCTCCCACTCTCTCTCCCACTCATTCTCCCACTCTCTCTCCCTCTCTCCCTCCCACTCTTCCACTCTCTCTCCCACTCTCTCTTTCCCACTTTCTCACCCACTCTCTCTCACCCACTCCCCCCCTCTCTCTCTCCCTCCCCCACTCTCTCCCTCCCACTCTCCCCCCCTCTCTCTCTCCCTCCCACTCTCTCTCCCTCTCTCTCTCTCTCCCTCCCACTCTCTCTCCTCTCTCTCTCTCTCCTCTCTCCTCTCTCTCTCTCTCTCTCTCTCTCTCTCTCTCTCTCTCTCTCTCTCTCTCTCTCTCTCTCTCTCTCTCTCTCTCTCTCTCTCTCTCTCTCTCACCCACTCTCTTTTTCTCTCTCTCACCCACTCTCTCTCTCTCTCCCACTCTCTCTCTCCCACTCTCTCTCTCCCTCTCTCTCACACTGCATTTGTTTTATGTACAACGTCTAAAACAAAGGAAAAGAGGAGAAAAATTGTTATTCAGTTTATGTTGTTTTTCCCGGTTGTTTCATCATAAACGAGGTTCAAGAATTTTTGGAGAAAGTTAACTTAAAGACATACTGGCCCATGTTTCAGTGTGAATACATAGATATATCCATTTATCATATTGCGTTGCACATCACATTAAATGCCATTTGGAGTAGTTGAAATTACAAATTTGTTTTCTCCTACTTTTTTAGCAGAAAGTCAAAAAAATTTAACTAGAATTTTTTCCCGACAGTTTTTTAATAATTTTCTTTGCTTTCCCTATAAAGCAAGGATTCCCAACCGTGGGTACTCTTATCCCCTAGAGGTGCGAAAAAACATTCTTGGAAGTGCGAGGAAAAGTGATTGTAATTAATAATAATTAAGATGAATTCTGGAATAATCCAGCATTTTTACCATCAAATTGAAAAGAAATGTTATTAAAATTGTATATTTTTTACATATCTGTACGTGTATATTCATTACGTATCATTATGCGAAGCTTGATACCATGGATAATAATTTTATAATATTAAAATGATAGTTAATTTCTATAAAATAATATACTGAGAAAAAATTGTATTAAAATTGCATTAAAAAAAATGTATAAAATTAAACAAATATTTGTTCGAATACGGCTGTGAATAAATTTATTCAAATTAGCGACTAATTTCTAAAATGAAATGTAGAGGTTTTCTGAATGTAAACTTTTTTCTTGAATTTTAGAAAATAATTGCTTAATTTAAGTAAATGTATTCACAGTCGTATTCGAACAAATATTTGTTTAATTTTAATACAATTTTTTCTCAGTGTACTATGTAATAATAAATTATTATAAATTAACTCCTTATAAATTAACTCCTTAAAATCCTAACAACTAATTTTTACCATAAAACATACGAATAAGTTTTTTTGTAGGTGGTGCGAAGAAGGTTCATTAATAAATTTTTAGGGGTTCGAAATACAAAAAGAGTTAGGAAACCCTGCCATAAAGGAACGTATAACCAGTAAGAATAAAATACAAGAAAAAAATAAGAATGAATAATAATCCCTTTCTAAAAAAGAGATTAAATAATTTGTGTATAAGAGGAAGTTTATATTCAAATCAATGAAATCAATAAAAAAGATTTATATAAAAATCAATTTGCATTATACTAACTTTAAGAATGATATATTTATAATATTTTCCTCTTAATTTTAGAGAAATCCTTTTGAGGCCATACATAAGAGTAAAATCCTTTAAAATTTAGATGATTCTGCTTATTCTGAAATTACTTTTCTTTTGGGTGAATCTTGCGAGCGTTCAAGAACTACGAGAAAAACGCGCGAAACGTCTGTGACTTAGAGCGAGATTTTTTTCTGTTTTTCACCAAGACTCCAATCAGATCTTTTGCTGAAATTTCGGTAGATCGCGGCAACATTTTTACGTTGTGAGTTCAAGTTGCAAATTCGAATTACGATAACTGCGTGGCGGAAAGAATCTGTCTCTGCAACCTTTCGTTGAAATGCGCTAGAATTTGTAGAAATTTGGATCTCAGCGTGAAATTTCCCGAGGAATTGCACCGTGTTTGCAAGAGTATCGTGAACTTTGACGGAATCTTGTAAATTACGGATTGATATTGCGAGAGCCCCGATCGGAAGCACCTTGTTTCCGGATAGATGGAGAGTGGTCGTGTTCGCCGGTAAAAAGTCGGGCATCTCGGCGAGGCCGCGGTGGCTACAATTTACCGAGGTGAAAGCTATGACCTGCCCGTGAGCCGTGAGCTTGCCGGCACGTCCGACCACGTAGACCAGCTCGCAGTCGCAGATCGTCCGTTTGCATTCCTCCCGCAGCGTCTGCAAGATAAAATTCGTCTCTGGCATTGCGGAATTTCGCGCGGCGATCGGAAGGAGGCAATCCACCATGCGTGTGTGTATGTGTGCGCGAGTTTTTTTCTTTTTTTTCTTGCGCTCTGTCGCGCTTTATCAGCGCTTGCGCGCGAAACAAGGGGCTGTACTTTCACGTTACCACGATTATCTCGACGACCGGGACGAGCGGTCTTCCATCATACGGTGCGGCGCAGAGCAATTTGTCTCTGTCGACGACTCTGCTCGCGACTGATCCTTCGTCGGAGTCCAAAATCCAGGCAGTATCTTCCGTACATCTCAATGGATTACCTTCGCCGGTACAGTTTCATTAATGATTCATGAGACACGCGCGCGTAAGAGCGCGATCTCTCTCTCTCTCTCTTTCTCTCTCTCTTTCTCTCTCTCTCTCTCTCCTCTGCGTGTGTAATCTCGATTAGAAAGAACTACCAGCCCGAACACTTTCGATGGAGAGAGAAAGAGAAAAAGAAAGAGAGAGAGAGAGAGAGAGAAAGAGAGAGAGAGAGAGAGAGAGAGAGAGAGAGAGAGGGAGAGAGAGAGAGAGAGAGAGAGAGAGAGAGGTCGACAATTGATCGCGGCGGAATTAGCATACGAACAAGGAGATTTTATGCTTCGCAGCTCTGCGGAAATCTTGACAGAGAGTTATTCTGTTTCTTACCGGCCAGATGAAGATACCTCAAGGTGGGCACATCGAGAGTCGTAACATTCATTTCCTGGAGAGCGTTGTTTCTTAAATCGAGAATCCTCAAGGCTTGCAGATTCGAAAACGCGTCTCTCGGCAGTGCGCGCAGCTTGGTGCCGGTTATGTTGATTTTCTACATCGATACAAACACCCCTCTGTCCAAGCCCCCGTAATTCTCAAGATGTTAACAATAATAATCTCTTTGTTACAGAAGAGCATTCTTTGGCGTACATAACGTTATAAAAATGACTGGAGGTATTCAAAAAATTAAATCGAACGTTAAATGTTGAAATTTCAATGAAGAACGTAGAATAAATGAAATACATAAATAAGCAAGATACATAAATACATAAATATAATAATATATAAATAAGCAACACGAATGATAAACGAAAATAGAAAAAATGGATCTAAAAACAAATTGAGTGGATAAAATGGATAGCCACAGAAGAAACCGATGCAAATAGAAAGATCAAGAAGGATAAAGATAAGATCGTCTCGCGGGAGTAACAAATGTTGAGTCGCTTTCCTCTCTTCGTCGCGCAATTGACACTTTCTCACACACGAGATTTAAATACTTGAATACTCTCTCCAAGCGGCGGTGAACCGTAACGTTAGGCTTTATCATCACAGTGCTGTTCCCTACGGAAATCCGAAAAACGATCCTGACAGGGTTCAGGCAAAGCTTACGACTGCTCCTCTCCAAGAGCTCGACAAGTGTTCTCTACCTCGAGTAATCCCGTCTCGGTCGGGAAGGCGGTTGACAATCGGGTCAAGTTACTGTTCGCGAGCATAAACTTTCGCAGGCGTGTGAAGTCCCGCAGCACCTCCTGCGGATCGAACGTCGCGTTCGGCCATTCGCAGAGGACGAGCACCTGCACGCTGTCGCTCCTGAAAATTCAGGATGAAACGTCGTGAGCACGAGAAACTCGGCCGAATCAACTCATAGCGTAAAGCTCACTCGGGAAAGATCTCCGCGTCTTCAAGCTCGCAGCTCCGACCTTTCGCGAGGGAGCTTAAATCAGCTCCGCCGTGTCGATCGCTCGAAAATGCAGAACCGACACTTCAAAGTTCGCCCGATCATATTTACCTGGCCCTCCACTCGTCCCGCAGACCGTTGAAACAGACGAGACGCTGGCGGCTCTCCGCGAAATCGCACTCGGGATAATCGGTCGCGTGCGGATGATGCCAGTAACAAATGTCGCCCTCCTTCGAAAAAGCGCGCGAGCCGCGCGCGTATGCGTGGAGGAGCGCGAATCTGCGGAATCGAGACGACTTTCATCGGCAGGCGCAAAAGTCTCGCGAAAAAGTCCCCGATGAGATTCATACCGCCTCCGCGGCTAATTATCTCTGAACATCTGCGAGAGACGCCGGAATGAGACGCCGACGCGCGCGCGCGCATGTGTGTGTGTGTGTGCGTGTGAAATTTACATTTCGAAATCGATATTCAATTTCGCATCGCTCGTGTTTGCTCACAAAATAGCAGTTCGGTTAACGACCTTAATATAATTCACGGGCCACTCGGCGAACGGGACGGAAGTAGGTGAGCGAGTTAACGTCAGAGATTTATAATCTTCATCGCTTGGCAGCTTCGCGTTATTTGCACAAGACGCGATAACGAGACTAATGCGCCGCATCGTTGTGTTGCCCAGCTGCCGCTGGCTGATTCACGCGCAGAATTTCATGTCGTCGCGTTCCTCACGATCCCGTTTCCGCCGATCCGTCGAAACCTTCCTCTCTTCCACGCTTCGCGATCGAAAATCTGTAGCTTCGCAAAAGTAAATTCGACGTTCTTACTCGACTGCACCGAGCACTTTTATCCCTAGACGGCTCTTTTATTCGATTATTTTTTTAATCTGTTTCCTTATTGTTTATTCGTATTATTGTTTGCTTTACTTTTTATCCATTCTTTGTTACGCTTACCTTCCATTATTTATTTATCTATTTGCATCGCAACGGCTCTTTCACGTATTTACTTTCGATCTTTATTTGTTTCTTTCTTAATACATTTTTATTATTTATTTAAATAGCTCTAATCAGACTTTCATTCTCACCGATTTTTTGCCGTCGCAGTCGCCTTTCCAATGTTTTTCCTTGTTTCGGATCTTCCGTCTTTCGGCGTGACGTACACAAGGCGAGCTTATTATCCTACATTTATTTATTTATTCGCACAATTTGTGATCTCAGCAGCTAGCTTATCGGAAGTCGGAGATGCGTGTTTCTCCTTTGCGCGATGCGCGCTCAAACACGCGCGCGATAAATGACGCGTGTATAATTAGCGACTGTTTAGGTATAAATCTGCATCAACATGACTAAACAAGAGAGCGTGATCGAGGCTCGCGCCTCGGGCGCATTAACGGTATTCTTTCTCCGACTAAACCGCGTCGAATCCGACGGCAAATATTTGACGATACATCGTAAAAGCCAGGATACATCCTCCGTGAAATGTCACGTCCACGCCGCGCATTTCGTCACGACTCACGCTGAACGAGTTCAGCAGGTTGCGCGCGAGTCCTCCTCGGCTTGAGGAAGAGCTGTCGCGAGATACTGCCTATCTTATTGTGACATTTTTGTCACTAAAACCGGCGAAACGAGTCGGGGGAGAAGAATACTTTCGATACTCACAGGAAAACTCGTCGCGCTGTTATTTCCATGATGTATCGAGTGCCGACGTAGCGCGGATAATCGTCGGGCGCACGATTGACAGTTTTGCGAAAGATCCCGCAGGATGGGTCCTCCTGCTGGCGAATTCACCGCAGATGAGCACTCCTTGTCAAACGCGACGCGCGGGACTCGCGTCGGTCGCCCGCGTTGTCGATCGCGTCCGCGAAACGGCAGGTACGCTAATGAGAAAATAGAAACCGCGTCAGCAGATGGATAACTAAAGCGGTCGCGGCGGCTTAGCGTGTAATGAACATCTTGCGCGATGATAACGAGCGCAGCCGAGCGAAGATGCGATGACGATCTGCCTCTGCGGTGCAGCCAGCGATGTACATTGTGATAATACATTTTTTAAACACCGTCCTGTTCACGTCCTCGGCTACTGCGCGACGAGCCCGAGACCTTCCCTAAGAGATTTTCCGGCTTCTCTTCCGGCGCACAGTGGGAACAAATAGAAATTTACTGTTCAAAAATCGCTAGAGACCACAATTTTATAGCAATCGGGATGCGATTGGGTCTTTCTTTAAATTAAACGTTAATCAATGTAGAAAAGAACTGTCGAGCCCGATTCCTTGAAAACATTCTTTTAAATTTTGCAGTATTAAAAAGAATTTGTAAGAAATTATCAAGTTTTGCGAGCCTCTGTTACAAATGGCAAAACTTTCCATCTTTTCGCTGCGCAGTACAGTTTTTCAGTACTAAGGTTTTCAGCATCGCTGATTACAAATCATCGCTGATATAAATATCAGAATTTGGCAGTTAACAATTGCTAATCTCCTGTCAACATAAACAAAATCATTGTTTTAACACAGTATATATACGTTGCAATAGAGTATACAAAGCCGTTCAACATAAATGTAAAGCCTGATATGAAGTATGATAAAAATAATAAATTCGGCGAAAAAAAGTTGCAAAAATAATATGTTTAAAATAAAATTGTTTAAACAATATATTTAGAAAATGATTGTTTTGAAAACCTGATGCTTGATGTTTTGAAAACATCAGATCAAAGCTACATATTTGGTTTTCGTGAGAACAATTCTATTATAAACAAATTATTTTGCAACTTTTTTCCGCTGAATTTATTATTTTTATCATATTTCATATCAGACTTCACATTTATGTTGAACGGCTTTGTATATTCTATTGCAACGTATATATACTGTGTTAAAACAATGATTTTGTTTATGTTGACAGGAGATTAGCAATTGTTAACTGCCAAATTCTGATATTTATATCAGCGATGATTTGTAATCAGCGATGCTGAAAACCTTAGTACTGAAAAACTGTACTGCGCAGCGAAAAGATGGAAAGTTTTGCCATTTGTAACAGAGGCTCGCAAAACTTGATAATTTCTTACAAATTCTTTTTAATACTGCAAAATTTAAAAGAATGTTTTCAAGGAATCGGGCTCGACAGTTCTTTTCTACATTGATTAACGTTTAATTTAAAGAAAGACCCAATCGCATCCCGATTGCTATAAAATTGTGGTCTCTAGCGATTTTTGAACAGTAAATTTCTATTTGTTCCCACTGTGCGACGGTCGCGCGAAACGCGCGAATCTCGCCCGCGACCTCACGAGGATGTTATCGAAATTATTAATTATTATGATTTTTATATCGTCGCCCGCTTTGTGAAGCGCGGTGTTTCCGCGGGGTAACTCGACGTCAGGTCGATTGGATGCTGCCTTGCACTTTCAACACCCGCGAAACCTCAACTATGACAGCTGTAATAAAGTGAAGGTTGAAAGGTCACTCCTTTTAACCACGAACGGTAGGTCAAAAGACTGTGTAACACAAGAATAAAGATAAAGTGGTGCATTTTAGTACTAGGGGTCGTTACTTTTTAAATATGTCAAGATCATACAGTTGTTATTGTTTTGCGCCAAGACATGTCGAGTTAAATGATGATTACGATCCAATCAGAAACATAACGTTAATTCAAAGTTGATTCGACGTCGATGAGGATTAAATTAACGTTGATTCAACAGTTCATCGACCATTTCAACGTCAAAACAGCGTCGAATCACCGTTATGGTTCTAACTGGGGATTGTTTTATTTTCAACCTAATTTTTCTGTTGAATTTTCACATCAAGAAATAATTTTTTGTCAAAAATGTAACAAAGGTATTTAAAAAAAGGAACTTAAAACTTCAGGTTTATTCGTAAATGTCGTTGTACAATTCAGTTTCACGGGTGCTTTATTACCAATAAACCGATTTAATGTTGAGTCATATTACGACCTCGATTCTTACTTAAGGAAAGTGGCGGCTCGTAGCGGAGACTTTGAAACTAATTCGTCAAAATAACAAATTTAATAATCTGGTGCTGTATGCACCAGCTTAGACTCTTTATCTGCTTTTAAAATAATGAGTGTTCTTAATCGGTCTAAATTTATTGTCATTATCTGTCTAAATTATTATTGATAAAAATTATCTTTTGTCATGAACAAAAATAAGGGGTAAAAATATAAAAGGTGTAGAGATTGTTTAGACCCGCTATTTTTACAAATTAGTTCCAAAGTCTCCGCTACGGAGCGCCACTTTCCCGAACGAAGGATAGACGATATCAGCTCAATTACTTTTATATCGATTATCTTTAGTTTACAAAATCGATTATCGTATGATGTTCTTTTATCTTGATTATTCGATATTAGACGATAGGTGTTTTCTTAATGTTATTAGAAACGTTATAAATAATTTTACAAAATTAACCCTAATTTATACTGTAGTTCTTTTTTATTCGTTTTCTAGACGTTCATTACGCGTTTCCTAGTCTTAAAAACTAAAATGCTGAGTTTATTTTGGTCGAAAATCAAATTAAAATTTGCTAATCCCCATAAAATTTAGCCGAGACTAAGCCAGACGTCTTTTTTGAACTTTAAAGTTGTAGTCAAATAAAACAGATATATATGTATATTATGGTTCTTTATAGCTGCACTGCTGAACTAGTGCAATAAGTTAAAATGAAACAACTATGGCCGCGTTCAGCAGAAAAAGCTGCTTACTAAGCGCTTAGTGATTATTATCTATGATTGGAGTATTCTTTTAGATCTCTAACAAATCCAGGGGAATGAACTAATCAGAAACGATAATCATTAAGCGCTTAGTAAGCAGCTTTCTCTGCCGAACGCGGCCTGTTTTTTCTGTCTCTATGTTTTTATGTCTCACTTATTGCACTTATTGCACTAGTTCAACAGTGTAGCTAAGTAAAGAACAGACCCTATATAAGGGAAAATTTACGATGAATATTTTTAAACACATTTGATTGGTTGCGAAAAGTAACCTGCAACGTGTCTAGTAACTTTCGTTGTACGTTGTCGACCATGTGAACGTCGACCAAATGCACAGATTTGTGCATTTGTATGTTTAGTAAAGGTTACTACGTGGTACGTGTTGGCATGTTTTTCCAATTTCTATAGTCTTAATGAGTGCGTTTCATCGTCGCGATGTGTCATAAGTAGAACGATCATCGCCAATGATAAATGGCCGTATATTTATTGAATAATATATGCGACACTAATTATAACGTGTAAAATGGCGTGGTTTGGAGACAGTTTGGCTAGCCTCTCTAATTTAAAGGGACAAATCGCAAACTTCACGAAGGATGTTCTGTCTGAGGGCATCGTCGAGGAAGTAGGTACGTGCAAGTATGCTGACACGTTATAACACAATTCCAAGTCTGCATTTTTATCAATACACAGTTGACCGATAAAAAGATAGGTTACGTCTGTCAGATGACTGTTCTACTTTACCGATCGAGAGACCATTTAACAGCTGGCGGGAGTGACTAGCGATTCGTATGTAAAATTGCTTTGTACATTCTTATGAAACTTTATTGAAAATAATTATTTGTTAAAAGGTGATAACTTGTGCAATATCACAGAGCAATGTGTACTGGCACTGTTACAATCTCGATCAAAAGTGTATGTATTTTTTAAACATACATTATGTCGAGTTTTATGTTTGAATGTAACAGATAATAGTGTATTTTATTATTTGTTTATATATACTTTCAATCCTCTATCTGTCGAATTTTTTCTTCATGTGATTTCTCCCCCCCCCCATGCATGTTATTATTTAAATTTCTTTAATTATTTCTAATGATCTCTCTCCGACATTTTTCATTTTGGTTCCTATAAGGATTTTATCTATTAATTGTTTAGAAAATACTGTGAAAAATACAATTTAAGATATGACAAACTTAGTCTGAATCTTGCAAAATTAGATTTAAAGTTTTCATACAAGACTATATATGGAACGACAATGAAAAATACTACCACACACTTGATTCTGTTTTAATATAAAAACTGCTGTGGTTCTTTATGAACAATTAACCATACATGCATGAATAGTTGAAAAGTTAATTTCTACATTGCAAATCAGTAATAAAATTATTGATTAGTTATCCTAGTCTTAATTTTGATTCTGCTTATGTTAAGAAGCCAGTGAAACAGATATCTTTATATATATCTTAGAAATTTATATAAAACACATAAAGCATAATTCATTGCTAATTAATTAATGTTTTAGCATAAATAAATCGAAATTGAGTGTTTTCACTAAATTTTATCAGAATCAAAGGATATACCTTTTTGGAATTATAATCTTAAATATGATATAATGCTGTCAAGTATAATTTATAAAATTTCATAATTGTATAATCATATAGAGGTAATTGTTAATCTAATTGTTACTTGTTACAGATGAACGGTCAAAGGCACTGAAAGAAGCGAATGAGAGATGCAGTCAATTGGAAGATTTACTCAATACCAAAGATGCCGAAGTAAGTATATCTGTATGAAAAATTGTGTGATTTTTTATCCTTTTATATATTAATTATATTGATATATATCGATTTCAAATATATTTTTACGCTTGGCATATTAATTTCACTGTAATCATTATAATCAATTGATCGGATTATGAAATCTTGAAGAATCAGAAATATCTATACAAGAACGGTATGAATTAAACCGCGTGTGCGTGTTTGTGTGTGTGTCTGTGTCTGTGTCTGTGTGTGTGTCTGTGTCTATGTGTGTGTCTGTGACTGTGGCTGTGGCTGTGGCTGTGGCTGTGGCTGTGTCTGTCTATCTGTCTGTAATTTCGATAGAGAGACTCAAACATTTAATAACAGAATTATAAAGATCTTTTACATTCCAGATATTGACACTTTTTTATCAGTAGTAGACAAGCACAGAACTATCCAGTTTTCTTTTAAATGATTCTCAGTAATAACTATATCCCTTGTGTTGAAAAAGTTATTCGATATACGCACAGATGTCTGCTGGTCTGATAAGCGCGGAGTTACATTGTGATTAGAAATTATTTTAACAGATGTCGCGTTCTCCCTAATAATCGCGAACGAGTGTAAAGCAAACATGTGCACTTTATCCGTTAATATATTACTACCTGGAATTCTTTGAATCGCATCGAGCAGATCGCATGTAGGTATCTCGAAATGGCATAAACTGCTGCAAGACTCTAAGAAGGGAGAAATCCATTGTACGTTTGCGTCGGGAGATTTTAAAGAAAGAAACGAACAAAACGCGGTGAGACGTTTTATATAATTACCTACACGACGTGGCACTTCCTATCGCGAGCAACAGTCGAGAGGGGTTTTGGCGGCACATGCTAGGGGTCGTACAAGATAACGCATCGAGAATCGGAAAGTGGGGACCGTTATCGCAATACAAACGCGAGATAAGGACGGCAAATGTAAACGCTCATCGTGCGTTCTGTATCCCACAACGGTACCACCGGACTTCCTTCTGATTGTGCTTCCTAATATTTAAGGCGGAGGTACGATTATCTCAACCGTCTAGTTCACGACGGTATCTCCACTCGAAATCTCTCGCGCTGATCTTTTTCGTACCTCGTCAAGAATTACGGCACGTCCTCGTCTAAAATCACACGCGTTTCTTTTTGCCTCCCGCTGAACAAACAAATAAACTCGCTACGTTTCATCACTTCGAAGTTGCAGTTTTATAATTCAGTCTGTGCCTCAGAAAGGGTTTCTGTGCGATGTTATATTATTATACATTATTTTGCACAGAATCGCGCTATATGTAATTTATGCGGAATGTTTTACAAAATATTTGATTATCTCGTAATCTCTTGGGCGATGTACTCTCAGTTTTCGAATACGTTCCTCTTTATTACCGTGTTGATTTATTAACGTCTGTCAAATAGACTCTTCGCTGTGTAACACACACATACACGTACGTACATAGGAAAAGTAAAGAGATAGAAAGAGCGGAATTAATCAATCGATCGCGATAGTTATAATCCCGATAATATCTTGTAGTGCAAATTCAACAGAGTGCAAGGGTCTTTTCTTATATACAGATTTCTCTCCTACGCCGACAAAACTACGAACTGCAAACGGCTGTCGTCGAGATCAACGCAAAATCCAAAGAATCGGTAAGCCAGCAATTCCACGTTTGACAATTCGCACGCTACTGCGGTCACGTAAAAAAGTTCCATCACATATTATCTCTCGCATAATTAGGCGCGAATCATGGCGCCTCTCTCTCTCTCTCTCTCTCTCTCTCTCTCTCTCTCTCTCTCTCTCTCTCTCTCTCTCTCTCTCTCTCTCTCTCTCTCTCTCTCTCTCTCTCTCTCTCTCTCTCCTCTCTCTCCTCTCTCTCTCTCTCTCTCTCTCTCCTCTCTCTCTCTCTCTCTCTCCCCCTCTCTCTCTCTCTCTCTCTCTCTCTCTCTCTCACACGTTTAATCTCACCCGATAATAATTCGTCATTGTTAATTATACGCAACATGTGTATAAATATCGCGATATCCGTGCGCGGTAATTGGTTAACAATCACGGGCACCGAAAGAATATTGCCCGGCGTTTCATTTCCGTTCAAACGCAACGCTCTCTTGTAGCGCGTTCTTTTTTTTCCCGCGAATGTTATTCCACGCCGAAGTTATCACCTTTACAAATGTAAGAGCCGCGCTCGCGATTACGTGACCTATAAACCGCACAGCGACGTCGTCGTGTACCTTCATACACCACGTCCACCGAGGAGAGAGAGAGAGAGAGAGAGAGAGAGAGAGAGAGAGAGAGAGAGACCTCCTCTTCTCTTCCGAAACTCTTAACGCATGAAACTCTCCGCTCCATCTTCCACTACACATGTGACAGCGATAATTTATTGTTACGTCATTATAATAATAAGGAGGACACATGCAACAACTTTAAGTCGCCTCGCTTGTCACTGTAACTCATTAAGTTGCAAACGATGATATAAGTGTGTACACGCGAGGAGTGTACGGCGAATGCGCTCGCGATAACAAAAGCTAGCCGTTTGGTATTACCTGGATAGATAGCGCGCGCGATAGTAGTTGTGTTAATAGCAAAAAGGTAATTTTTTTATCGGTTCCCAGATAAGAAGCTTTGGTCTCATCGATGCGTTCGCGGCGCGTAGTAGTATCTTTTCACATCGGCAGGATACCTCGTTTCAAAATGTCGCTTTATATTTCTTTATTTCTCTCTCTTTACTTTTTATTTTTTCCTTTTTTTTTTTATATATATAACGGGAACGCGGAAGGCGACGTAACGGCGGAAATGCTGTTGCGCGGAAAGGTGGAATCTGATAAATTATTATTATGCAACAATAGTATTATTGAGCAATAAAATGAGCAGAATATTAGAGAATGGACGAGAGAATATTAGACGAGGTCGAATAAAAGGCGGTTTGATCGACGCGCAAGAGCGAAGAGATACATCGGGCTGCGCACAACAAGTGCGATTTCAGGCGATTTTGTCGCTGATACGAGACGATTGCGTTTTCAGATCGTTATAACTCTACGAAGCAGCGTTTTCAAGCATGATCTTCCGTCATCCTTCGCGTACGCTGCCTCTCGTCGTTGTTTCGTGTTGCAGGAACACGTGTAGTGTAGCGTACAATGTTTGAAGGATGATAACAGCGCGTTAAGAAGTTTCCATTTAAAATTGACGTAGAAAATCGTGATTTCGGAACACACTTGTTCCTGGCTTACAAGGCCTGAAATATATAACGCTCGTTAAGACTGAACCGCCTTAAATTTTCGGCAATGTTGAAACGTATCGCCGCGTGGAACGCGCTCGCTTGGCCGCGGAGAGTTAGCTAAGAATGGCAGATAAGAAGGTAACCGCGCGCTCTTACGCTTTATTACGTATCTTGGATCAACAAAGGATCGGTCTTGCTCTTCGCAGTGAAACGCGTCACGAATTTCTCCGAGAAAAGAATATCTTGTGCAACTCGTCCCCGTACAAAATCGACGGGATTATCCTTCACGAATTTATCGAGACAAGCGAGACAATACGTACTTACTTTCAGTGCGGCTCGAACGCTTCTTCTTTTCTCAATGTAGTTTCGAATGTAGCCGAGGAAGCTTGTCTTTGATTCATTCTCGGACTCGTTGTAACTCTCAATTTCTTGGAGTAAAACTTCAGTAGAGTGACCGACCAGTCATTCGAATTCGAATGATTTTCAATTCATGCAGAACAAATTCTCCGCTACGAACTGTCGAGCGAATATCTTCACTCGAGATTGAAGAGTGGATCTGAAATATATAAGGTTGATGAATATGTAGCAGTTGATTCTTTTCGATTTTCAACAACTTTCAATCTTTATTTAAATTCGATAGAACAAGATTAATGAGTGAAATATTCTCCGTTATTATCGACCTTATTCCATTTATTAGGCGAATCAAAATAGAAGCTTGGTGGCTTTTAAACTATTAAGTCATCGATGAAATTTCGTACGTCATCAACAGTAATCAGACAATGCGTGGTGCATCGATCGGAACAAGCGGAAATCCGATGGAACCAAGTCTGGGGAATACGCCGCGTGTAGGAGAACTTCCCAGCCCAATGTAAAATGGTTTTCTTTGCGGCTTCTGCTGTATGCGGTTTTGCATTGTCGCGCAGCAGGATGACTTTACGGCTGCCTAGTAAACGGCCTTTTTTCTTCAATCGCATCGCACAAACGTATCGATTGCTCTTGATAAATCACTGCTTTAATGATTCCACCCGGTTCCAAGAGCTCATAGTATAACACTTCCACCATATACAGAGAAGAACTTTTTTTCCGAAACGTTTGGTTTTTGCTGTCGACGTTATCGGTTGATCAGAGTCAGGGTCTACCCGTGATTTTTGCGTTCAGAACTTTCATACATAATCCATTTTTCATCACCAGTTATAATTTTGTGCAAAAAATCTTTTTTCTCTGGCGAGCGAAGTGACGGCGCATGTAGTCGGTTGACGATTTTTGCTGTCAATAGTTAACGTGTGGAATCCACTTCCCTTCTTTTTGTATTTTTTCCATATGCTGTAAACGACCGCAAATAGCTTTCTGACTTACTTTTAGCTTTGCCGCAAGTTTTTATTGTGTTTATGCCGTATTTTCATTCAGTACATTTTGCGACTCGTCTTCAAATCTTTTTGGTTGGTTGTGAAGATAAAAAACACCACTTTGAAAACGTTCAAACCACTTTCGGCATGTGCGATCGGTCACAACATTTTCACTATAAGCAGCACAAATCTTTTGGCTGCATCTGAAGCGTTTTCGTTTAAATGAAATGCGAAATGCATCGCGTATCGAATATGCTCTTTATCGATGTACTACTGATTAGTTGAGATTATATGCATCAACCATATTTTGTGCCAAACCATATTTTCATTTCGAAAAGTTAAATGCCAACACTTTAAAACCGCAAAAGAGCGGGAAAATATTCCAATTTCAAATTTTGCTTTGAGCTGTATAAATTTCATCGGAAAGAACTAACCACTAGACCTAACATTTGTTCCTATCAATCGAGACACTCAATGAAATGAAATGAGAATCTGCTCCAAGCTGCAGCGGCGGCATTCTCATTGCCGCTTCGAGTGAGAGAATATCGCCGCTTCTCATTCGCGTTTCGAGTGAGATTCCATTTTGACATTCTATTTAGGGAATAGGTTTGAGAGGGAAAGCGTTCAAAGTGTCTCGCATTTCCGTGCCGTCTCGTTCGATCGACAACGAGCGACGACGTCTTCGGAAAAGTCTCGCAGGGAGCTCGAGCGCTTGGATTTTCCAATTCCCCGGAGCCTCGGAGGTTTGCGGAAAAAATGCAAAGCAGAAGGTGGAAGGACGCGATGACTCACTCGCGCATCGCGCATCGCGCGTTGTTACGTATGTTGCGCGAGTGTAGCGACTTGATAGTCCTTGAAATCCATCGAAAATTACCTAATGCGTCGTTTATCGTCCAAGGGACGCTCCTTACGCACTCCCGTCCTTCGTTTTTCCGAACAAAAAGTCGGCCGGCGATACGTTCCTTCAACGCGAACGCTATCGCGTAATAAGCAGTCGTTACGAAATTGCGTCCACGGCAATTTCGCAAAACATCATACATAATAATGTGATACGACGATGCCAGGACGGTCGCGCGCTGCGTTAATTCTTCGCGTAAACTCGACGGCCGTTGTTGAAAGGTCTTGTGTTTTCTCGTCGAATGCTTTCAGAGGGAGGCCCCCTATTTCGGCTCTCGAGGACGATCGAGGATTTCCGCCTTGGAGCGCAAACGCAAACGCAAACGCCGGCTGCTCTTGAGTACGCTTTTGCGTGAAAGCGAAACAGATCCGTTTAAGGATACGTTTAAGGTGCATTAATAATTTGTTCTTGTTAATTAGTGTCTTGAGACTTGCCCCATATGAGATAGACTCAGACTTTAACTCGGCGTTGAGTTCATCCGCCGAAGCGTACGATACGTTTGACTTGATATCTGTAACCAAGGATTTCGCATTTAACTCTGGCTAGCCGGCTAGGTGTCCTTTTTTTAAAAACGTGGGGAGTTTCACGTGAACTCGACGAATTTAGCGTCGATTACGTATATTATGTAGGAACATGGAAATATTTAATGAACAATGGAACTTTTCACTCTTTCGCTCCTACGGGTAAGTTATACAATCGTCGCCCTGAATTCAAGTCTGAGTACCTTACTTTCGGCAAGTCAGAAATGACAACTAAATTATTACGGGCCTGAATCCGCGAAGTTGAAGGAGAAGAGGGAGGGAATATTTCATTTTGATATGAATTCGAGTTGGACCATTCCGCCAACGTCGAACGCCGCGTGTGCAGTTTCTGCGCCGACGATATGACGTTCCGCAATTCGTTTCGGCCGATCGATCTCGATTGATACTCTACTCCCTACACCCTGTTTTATTTTCGCCGATAACAGTCTGAAGTACGATAAGCGACGCGGGTTGGGGTGACTTGGTTTTCAGCAACGATAGTGACTATGACGACTATTCTCCATCGGTTGGCTATAAATTCAGGTCGAGCGAGCTTGCAGCAGAAATCAAGCGAGTGCCATTCGCGCGATAAAGTTCCCTGAGTTAAAGTTTTTCTCTCGAAAGAGTCGCAAAGGTTAGTGGTATCATATACATGCATGCATGCATGCATGCATGCATAGATACATACATACATACATACATACATACATACATACATACATACATACATACATACATACATACATACATACATACATACATACATACATACATACATACATACATACATACATACATACATACATACATACATACATACATACATACATACATACATACATACATACATACATACATACATATACATATATATATATATATATATATATACATACACGCACATACATACATATTCAATGTCCGGCTATTGTTGTCCGCTCCAGATTATCGTCCATGATATATTTGTCACTTAATATCGCGCATTTATCTCTCGAAAGCTTAAAGCGATTCCATGTTCTCTTTGCCATGTGATACCTCTATGCTCAAAGTGCAAAGGCCGACAAGTGATCAAGTCTTGACACTATTACGCCCGCCACGCAAGATTGAAAATCATTGTTACCACGCGTCATAGCCAGGGCTTCAATATTTGTGCGGATCTAACAATGGCTGCGTTCATAAAACACAACGGTTGAGTAATTTGTCGACGTTATTGGTCTGAACTGGTAAGTATCTAACAGTAAAGACTAATCGCTCAGTGAGCGCTTTGTTTTCTGAACGCAACCATTGCTTCTTCGTCATAGCTGACGACTCTAATGGCGGATAAAAGGGCTTCGAATTCGAATTAGCCGAGGAATAGCTGAAGTATCGGCTCTGAATCCGGATCCTGGACATTGCGAAACTACTCGGTCTCCGATCGAAATCGTCCAATTTCTATTATGTTTTTCGATGTTTTTTAGAAAAAAGAAAATAAAGTAATTCCGATCGAGGACCTTGTCCACCAGTTCGTAATATCCTCACAGATCCAAAACGGTTCATAGGGAAGTCGGCTAGGCAGACAGCAAAGAGATCCCTCCTCCGAGCATTTTAACGCCCTTTAACGCCCGACTTTTTTATAAGTGTTTTAAGAATAAAATTTGAGTTTTTTTTAACTGAGACTGTAAGTAGTGATAACCAAAAAAAATATCAGAATTTATATATTCTTCGAAAAACTACCTTCTGAATAAATGAGTACATGAAGTTTCCGCTTTTCGTTTGTTGGTTTCATTAGTTTGGTTTTTTATCGTTTGTTTTTTGTTTATTGGTAAATATGACTTGGAGCCTAAAAGCATATACGAAATGAGCAACCTGTGCAGAGAAAAATAAAGGATAATTTATACGACATAACTCTGATAATCAGCCTGACATTTTTGAGCTGAAACTTTACTATATTTGTGAGTGAAGTTTATCACTCAGAGCATCAAGCTTACTATTTCAGAAGAATATCTTATAGATCCACCATTTAGATAGTCAATCGTCCCTTCATTTTTCGCCGCATAAAAAGTGTAGGTTTCACCAGGTTTCACGAAAATAGATTGATTTCTTGATTTTCGTGTCCACAATATTGGATTCGCCGTTTTGAATTTCTGTATTCTTTTAATTTCACATTTTGCATGTGAGAAAGCTTCCAAATATATAAAATTATAACAGATACCAATCTATTCATTTATAGTGCATTTCTAGATGTCAGTAACAATGCTAAGTATGCCTACTTGGAATTTGACAAAACATGTTATCATTAAAACTGAGCTAAAAACAGACTGAACCGAATCTACATACGATCTATATACCATTTTTTAGAAGAAGAATTCATCTTTATAAAAGGGTGCAAAGAAAACGAAAATATCTCCTTTTTTGACTAAGTTGTGAATTCTTAAATGCGTTTCTGGTAACTATAGTTACCAGTAAGCGTAAAGGGTTAAATTAATGAATCAATATTTTCTGACTTTGATTTAACCTGACTTTGATGTCTAACTTGAGGCGATTGTGCTTACTTGAGTAATGATAATTATTTCGGACAATTTTCCTGTCAAATCCCCATCAGTTCTCTCATCTGTCTCTGTTCTTTTTCTGCTTAGTCTTTAGTATTCGGGATCGAAAATTTACTCCAATCACACGGCGCTGTCGACATTTTCGGTACTTGCTTCGCGCATACCCGCGCATACCCTAGCGAAGGTTGAGATCCTGCGATCTCGCTGTTAATCGGAAAGTCCCGTGTTTCGGGAAGCTCGCGACGTCGCGGGATGTATTTTTCAAGAGCATCAGACACCCATAACGACAGGAGGAGAAGGCATAGAACGTAGGGACGAGCGGTACAATAACATCGTTAGAGCGCTGCATTAGCATAACACTACCCGCGAGGATACTGCCGCGCGTATTATTATCCCATCTATAGTCGTTCTCGATCGTACACCTCAACCTCGGTTTGTCATCTTTGCCCTTTCCTCGGCTGCTCTTTTGTCAGAGGCGAGCCATTTTTCGTAGCCCTGCCGAAAACAAATTACCAACGGTAATATACGCCGAGAATGAAGCGTCGGACTGCCGTGAAACTCAGCGCGACACGCCGATTACCGTCGTCGAAGGAAGAGCCGGATAGAGGCGAATTAAAAACAAAAAGAAACGAAGAGAAAGCACGAGAAACGCGCTCGCTGGAAGCGTGAAACATAAAGAGATGCGAGTGGGGGACGGGACGAATTCTCGCCGATGGTTACGTGCGCGCGTATAATATCGACTCTTTTTCCGGCATTATCGCTCGTGATTCATCATACTCGGCGCGCGCGCGCGCGCGCGCGAGACCAGGCGATCGGCCATTTGTATTTATAATTGTTTTCCTTTTTCGCCACACGTACGTTCGATCGACGGAACACGGCTGCCTTGCCGCGCTCTTCGTAGGGGACAATTCCGCCGACACGGTGCTTTGGCGCGACCAGTGTTCTCTCCCATTTCCTTCAGCTGTGCCCGCAGCGTGAGCGCTGCCATAGGGGCCGATAAAGGTGTCCAGCCGACGCCTGCGTTAATAACAGCGACACGTCGGCCATGGTTTACACGCGCTGTGCCGACTTGGGAAGCGCTTCCGACGACGAACGAGCGCTTCGTCTCGCCAGCGTTAACGCCACGCACGTTGCAGTCGTCGTCGTTTTTCCGCTTTCCTTGTATTCGCTGTATTCGCGTTCTTTAGCCGACTTTGACGGCGACTATATTCTGTTTTTCCCAAAAAGATCAAAAATAATAGAAATCCGGGGAATCATTGAACGATTTCGATCGGAGACCTTCCCGAGCAGTTTCGCAATGTCGAGGATCCGGATTCAGACTCGACGCTTCAACTATTCCTTGGCTAATCCGAATTCGAAGCTTTTATCCACCATTAGAGTCCTCCCAGGGACAATGTCAGATCCGAGCAGATATTGAAATCCTGGCTATAGCGCGCGGTAACTACGATTTTTAATCTTGCATGGCAAGCGTAATAGTGTCAAGAAATTTGGACTGCCGGGAATGCCGGTGTGTATTCTCTCTCTCTCTCTCTCTCTCTCTCTCTCTCTCTCTCTCTCTCTCTCTCTCTCTCTCTCTCTCTCTCTCTCTTTCTCTCTCTCTTTCTCTCTCTCTCTCTCTCTCTCTCTCTCTCTCTCTCTCTCTCTTTCTTCCCTCTCTCCCCCTCTCCCCCCCTCTCTCTCTCTCTCCAAGACCCGACGTGCGATTAAAAGCGGAGCAAGCGAGCTATCCACCCTTCGAATTCCGCGGGCGACTTCTCGAGGCGCGCTTTTCGCCTTCGCACGATTCGCGGCAGCTTCACGCTCACGTAAAGGAGGACGAGAAATTCTTCGAGGAGGCGAGAACTCGTCCTCGGTGAACCTCGCGTTGGAAGCTACCTTATCGTAATATTACATTTCGCGCTTTTTCATTCCCAAATTTACTTATATATCCGAAGGACTTTCGGATGTGTTTCGTTTTCTCCCGCCGTCGTCGTCCCCTCGTTCGCGGGGGTCCGCCGTCCACCCGTCCGTTCGTCCGTTCGTTCGTTCGTCCGTCCGTCCGTTCGTTCGTTCGTTCGAGGTGTTCCTCGACGTGAAATTGCACGTGTGCACATGAGGCATCCTCGCACAAATAGTCACCTTACGTGCACACCGCCCCGCTCGCCCTCCGCCGCTCCTCCAGCTCCGAAGGGTCGCGTCGCTTGCGCGCCGTGGAAGGTGGAGCTATCGAAACGCGCACAGTCGTTCCTCGAGCCGCGCACCGCGCACACCTCGCAGACGTTACGCAGCGCAACAAGCATGGACGACGACGACCATATTTCCTTCTGCTGACCAGTTACGAGAGGTGCCGCGGGTAAACGCGTCCAGATGGCCCTGCAGCGCGGTGTTTCCTCCTCGCGAGCCGCGTCGCGGCTCGGGAGCGCGCGAGCGGATCGGCAAATCGCATGCGAAAGCAGCGACCGTTTCTGAGGCTCAAGTAAGTTGACGATAATTGCGGCTTAAGTAATTCGTCCTCTCCTTCGTTCTTCTTCTTTCGCGCGCTATTCCCCGGGGAAACGCAAAACGCAAACGCGCGTTACTTCGTGCGGATTGTGCTCGATTTTTCACTTATTAGCGATCTCCTTTCTTTTCTGCTTCTTCTTCTTTTCCTGTTGCAACTTCGGTCGCAACTTACTGCATTGCAATAGCCACGTAACGATTTCGCGAGATTGCCTTTAAATATTCGAAGGGACGGCCGAGAGAGGGAACTTCCTCCTCTCGCGCTTTCTTTGCGGTACATTCGCTCTGAAACGCGAAGAAAAAAAACTGCCCATCTACCTGTCTAACCGCGGAAAGAAAGGAAATCACAAGTGACGGATTCGTGTGTCGTATCTCGAAGTTACGGAACAAAAATACGCACAACGTCAGGATTCTTCCGTCGCGCCATTCTTTCGCGCGCGAAACGATGACCAAGCAACTTATCGCGCTCGCGCGCACGCGCGTGCACTTCTGCGGCTATTTCGTAAGATTTTCGCGTCGAGTTTCAGGAGCGCATTCTTCAGCGAATTTGCAATTGGTTTTTCAGCTCGCCAAAGCGTTCCAGCGCAAATTAAATTTGACCGTAAAGAGAGGGCGCTTTCATACCTTCAATATCGTGCGAATAATATCTGGCGCAATTTGATTTTGTAAAATTCACTCTTCTTGTCGATTTCGATTTTAATTCTTTAATTCTCGTTAACAACTAAACAACGCCCGAGCTTTCGTTCAATGTAACGTCTTTGTTTTTTCTTAATATTTCTTAATATTTCTTCACGGTCAATAAACATTTTATCATCCGGCAGTAATTTACTTTATAGCTGTAGCGTTCAATTATCGATAAGATGATGATGCAAAGTTAGATAATGAGTCTCTGTTTTAAGACCCTTTTGTTAGTATCAGTATTTATCGTGTTATCTCAATCAATCTCACTTACGGTGTACGATTTGTCAAGAGCCTTCTGTCGGAAAAGAACAGGAAAGAAGGAAAAAATGAGAAGAGAATACTGTTTCGGTGGAAATTGGAAATTCTCTGAGAGATTTCGCGGAGGAGACGATAGGTTTATCGATTAATTATTCGCACATCCAAGATGACTCTACGAAATGTAACCGAAGCTAACGTTGTCAAGAAAGTTTGACGACGAAAGAAGAAAAAACGCGACCGATATTTGGTTTTTCTTCCAGTCGGGCTCGAATTTGCATTTATTTCGCGTTAAACTATGCTCGCGAGTTATCGCTAAGATAATGCACGAAGGACAGACTTACCTACGATTACTTAACCAACGTCACTGACAACGTTGTGCGATTACCTTGCGCATGCACGACGCATCGCTCAATAGTATCTGTTAGTTAGTTGCAAAAATTGCTGTGTGTTACTTGCGAACGATAAAAGTCCGGGCCATACTTATCGCGCCTGTCGAAATAAAAAACCTCCGGGGACGCATATGTGCGCGCACATGTATGCGCGCACGTGTGCGTTCGACCTTATGACCACAGTGGATTTCTTTGAGCGGCGAGGAGGTGCAAAAAGAAAAGGAAATTATTATTGAAATATATTCGTCGACGCGCGCCTCGTCAGCAAGCGCTGCCCCGGCAACTTGCAACTCACCCGACGCGAATTCACGCGGGCCGTCCGCGAGAAACGCGTGAAACGTGAACGATTCCGAGATTCGAGAGGTCGTACATTATTATTATTATTATTATTATATACTTTTCTCGATCGACATTTCCGTATAATTTGCCAAGACGCAAGCGCCGAGCTAACGAGCCGCGACGTGCAACAGGTTGCACTCGCCTCGTCCGGCGTGAGAAGTAAATTTTCGAATTCACGTTGGCTGATTCGCGGCGAGCATGGCGCACTTGAAAGCCGCTGAACGGGCAATTAACGGCAAATTAACGATCCAGAAAATCAGATCTATCGACCGGAGCGAGGCGAGCGAGACACATGCGGAGACACAGGCGATCGTTCGCCTGCTAAAATAGAAGTAGGAGGATTGTACAGATGTGTGTCCAGATTACGACATGACGATGATACGTTTTGATCGCGTCGATGACGACAGCTGTGTCGACGGCGAGCGAGAAAATTCAGGCAGCTTTTGACGGTGAAAGCTGAGCGCCCCGACATCGAAGTGCATCGTGTCGACGGTTGTTGCAGTTTTTACACAATTTGCAAACCGTGCATCTCTCCCCCCCTCTCTCTCTCTCTCTCTCTCTCTCTCTCTCTCTCTCTCTCTCTCTCTCTTTCTCTTTCTCTTTCTCTTTTCGCGATACGTACTTATACCAACGTGGAGGGTCTCTCGCTAATACTTCTTGAAGAAAACCGAGCGATCTTGAAAATCCTCGGGATCTTCGATCTTCGCTACCGTCCAGAGTCGGATTTTAATATCAGTTAGCAATCATTACGCAGCGAATGTTAACACTTCGCCGGCCGGCCGTTGTCGTGCTTACGAGACTTCGTTCTGCCAACTCGGCTTCTCCTCATAGAGAGAAGGATCTCTCGACAATATATAACAACTCCAATATTCTACAAAGCTGCTTTTCTCAGATAATTACGGCCGTCCCTTCGACCGAATACTTCAAAAATAATCTCTACGTCGTCGTTAGCCCGACAGTCGCTAGCCGGAATTGGCCGGCTTTTTGTTTTTCTTCACCAATGGAACGATAAAACTCGAGCCGGATTTCAGAAACGAATTCGACCGCTCGTCGACGTCGCGTCGACGCGATCGATCTGTCGTCCCCGCGCAGAAAACATCTAATAATACTCGGAAAATGCGTGGACGAAACAACCCGTCGCATGCTCGAGCGAAGGAGAACAGAGAGGAACGGTTTTTTCTCTCTTCTTTTTTCTCCTTCGGTGCGTGCACTCGGTTGAGCAAAGATCAAGAACGACTAGTGCAAAGCGCAGAGACGGGCGCGCGTTTTCACCTACCTACCCGGTGTATAACAACGAGCTGACTCCTCGTCTCCGATGACGGCTTCTTGCCGCGAGGAACGCGCTGAGCGCTAACTTCTGGGTATCCAACACCAGAGACGGGATATATCATTCGCAACGTCGGTCGAAACCGTCGCGGTTCGACCGTCCGCGGTCTCGCCGGCGCGGTGCGGCGTCTCCTCCGCGTTTTCATTAGTGGCCGCCGATGCTCGCGTAGCCTGCGTACTCGCTAATTGATCGTCGTAATCACGCTCGGTACGCAAAAATATTCTCTAAGAATATATACGGCCGACACGATCAACGGATGTCACGCGTGGCTAAGTGACCGAACGAAATGCCCGCAATTGGAGCGTTGCTCGCGACACAGGATATTCGACAATGCAAGGGTCATAGGAGTCGAAGCCGGAAATAGTAACTCACTCGCGGTTCTCATTCGTCGATCCCGACTGCCCAGGTATACTGCCGAGTTATCTTTTTTATTTTATCGCAAGAACTGTTACACCGTGATAAGAGCTGTCGTAAAAATGCTGTCAGGGGAATAAACAGGGACGGTGAGCCAGACTCATCGAGCTCTGGTCGATTTTCTATTCTACTCATTTTCTCCGTCGTCTTTCGCGTCGGGATCTTCTCTTTCGGCGATTCTCCTGTCTCGATGCTTCTCTCGAACAATCGACGGCGAAATAATCATATGAAGCTATCCTACTGTTCCGCTTCGATGAGCAGCGATAAGCGTTCAGGTTCTTTTCCTGCAAAATTCGAATTCTCCTGAGGAGGTTTTGCGGTATCTTCCTTCCTTCTCCCTTTTTTCCTCTCTGATAAATTTGCATGTCTATTTTCTTGTGCGTCGCGAAAAGAAGCGCAAATAAAAATGTAGGTTGCTGCAATTTATCAGAATTATTTGTCGCACTCTGAACCACACGGACAGTGCTGCTACTCGATATTGCGTGTACGAGCTGTTCGCGTTTGCCACTCGTGTGTGTGTGTGTGTGTGTGTGTGTGCGCGCACGCGCGCGCGCGCACGCGTCGCGGCCACTTGGTTACGTCACCGGCATCGTGAACATTATTATGTTCCTACTGACGCAGGTACAATATGCCTGCCACGCTATTAGAGCAGCGCGAGAGCTACGTTAACCTGAAACTCGCATAAGCGGAGTGTGTGTTTCATAACGTCGCGCGAGCCGCAGGACTTACACGACGTAAGCGATATTTCATTATCAGCAGAAATGCGTGCGTGCTACGCATGCACGCGAGAGAGGAGACGCGGCATAGGAGGTGCAGTGAATCGCGCACTTCGCGCAGGCAAATGTCCGTCCCATGTCCTTGTCCATGCGTATGATCCCAGGGAAAGACGTCGCAGGTGTAATTACTCCCGTCCGCCGTAGCCGTGATTTCACCGTCAATCGGAGTCTCCTGCGTGAAATTCCAATATTATTAGGTAAATCGGAAAGTTCCGTCCATCTAGCGGCAAGTAGCTGTAGCCAGAACTGTCGTTAACCTCTAATGTCTAAACGAAGCTTGATGGTTTGTTTTGACATCTGTCAATAACATTCAGTACACAAAGGTATACACGTTTGCATTAATAACATTGTTTTTTACTGCATCGAAAATATCGAAATTTGAGCCAAATAAGCGGCAAGTGTTAATCTTTTGCTTCAATTGGAAGAAAACTGCAGCTGAAGCTCATCGAATGCTTGTAGAAGTTTATAGTGATAATGCTCCTTCCGATAAAACATGCAGAGAATGGTTTCGACGCTTTAAAAGTGGTGATTTTGGTGTAGAGGACAAAGAGCGTTCTGGACGGCCAAGAATATTCGAAGACGAAGAATTGCAGGCATTGGTGGACGAAGACTCGTGTCAAATGCAAAAGTAACTTGAAGAAGCATTAAATTGTGCTCAATCTGACATTTCCGATCGTTTGAAAGCCTTACAAGGAAAGGTTTACAAGGAAGGAAAATGGGTCCCATATGAACTGAAGCCAAGAGACAGGCGAAAACAGAGACAGAGAAAGGCGAAAAACCACCTGCGAAATTCTGCTTGCTAGTCAACAAAGAAAGGGGTTTTTACATCGTATCATCACTGGGGGAATGAAGAATGGATTTATTTTGAGAACCCCAAACGTCGAAAAATTATTTGCGATCCCGGCCAACCCTCAACATCGACCAAAGCGGAATATCCACGGAAACAAAAGGCAATGCTCTGTATTTGGTGGGATCAGAAGGGTGTGCTGTTGAAAAGCTGATCAAACAGTCACAGGGGATCTCTACGGAGAACAAATGATCCGTTTGAGCCGAGCATTGCACGAAAAACGACTGGAATATGAAATGAGACAGCATAAAGTGATTTTGCTTCATGACAACGCTCGGCCTCACGTCACAAAATCTGTCAAGGAAACGTTAGAAGCACTTCGCTGGGAAGTGTTACCCCATGCGGCTTATTCCTAACCAGACTGTGCCCCTTCCGACTACCACTTGTTTCGGTCGATGGCACACGCACTTGCTGACGAATGCTTCAATTCTTATGAAGACGTTGAAAAATGTGTCTCTGACTGGATAGCCTCCAAAGATGAGTCATTCTTTCGCCGCGGAATTCGCTTGCTGATCGAAAGATGGAAAAAGTCACCGCTAACAATGGACAATATTTTGATTTATGTACTTTCTCATTTTGTTTCTTAAATAAAGCCGTACATTTTACAAAAAAAACGAATGGAACTTTCCGATTGACCTAATAATTCAAGCGCGCATTTTAACAATTCGAGCGAGCGACTCGACGCTGCAGACCCTGCAGCGCGGACGACGATGACGACGCGTTGCGACAAATTCCCCAGCTCCGCGGATTTTACTGCGCTTTCCGCTTCCACCTGTCGCACGCGGTCGGAAGCGGGAATGCGTAAAGGCCTGAGGGGAGAAGCAGGCAGCAGATTCAGATAAGAGAATCAGTCTCGAGAATAGAAAAATGTATCCTCTGAGGTTCAGTGCAAACTTGAAACGAGTTTCTCGTGGAGAAATTTCTCTGCCGAGAATCGCTGGGTATAAATTTGAAAGAAGCTTCCGTTCCTCCGAGAATCATTCAGCGAAGCTTCGTGTGCTGTTGCGACGGTAGAAAAAATGTAAGTCGTGATAAGCGATAAAATTCCAGGCGAATCGACAGAATCGCCGCGGAGAGTCCCGGAATTAAACGACTCGCTTGGTGAGTCCAAGTCTCGTTTTTCATCGTCGTTTTTCACGGACGTTTTCGTAAACGCTCTCGCAAACGCGAGCGCTTCTCGTTTTCCTTTTGTCCTCCCTATCCCCTCTCATTTACATTTCCCATCGTATACGCACGAAAATCGCAATGACAGCCGATAACACCGGCGCATGGCGTCCTTGTTGATTTCTCATCATCGTGCGCATTGCGATAACTCGCGTTTGCAGTGCGATTGATAGGAGCTTCCTTTCCCACGCTTGGTATCGGAATCGCGTTATCTCCTGTGCGATGCATCGAGCACGCGCGTGCGGAGCGGCACGTTGCGTCGTATCTGCCGTCTAAATATTGGCCGTACGAAAATGTCGCGGTGTTGGAGAGAAAAGAAAAAGTTGGAAAACTCGAAGGCGCGCCCGTCGTTCGTCGAAACTGCTCGCGTAAAGTCGCCTGTGCGACCATTTTCCGTCCGCTTTCACGAGCTCCTCCTTTTTATTCCATCTACCGGATGGTACCAGTGCGCGCACCCTCTTGGAATACAACGAATTTTATCAGCGAAATTAACCTCGCTTCAGACTTGCAAAATCGCGCGTGCAGTCGCTCTCGCTCACGTAAGTTTTATATAATTGTGCGAGCGCCGATTCAAAATATGCTCTTGCTGAGCGATGTTCCTGCGGCGTTCGTTTGTTGCACGCGCGCGAGGTTCGATGAGAGAGAGAGAGAGAGAGAGAGAGAGAGAGAGAGAGAGAGGGAGAGAGAGAGGGGGGGACAGAGAGAGAGAGAGAGAGAGAGAGAGGGGGGGACAGAGAGAGAGAGAGAGAGAGAGAGAGAGAGAGAGAAGAAGGGAAACATACTGGAATATATAAATATGATCGGGAACTCTTTTTCCATGAACGTTATCGCGTAACGCGCGAACACGTCTCACCTCACATCGGTATATTCGTCCGACCGGATGTATTCGTAGACGTATCGAAATAAGTGTAAGACAGACAAAAGAAAAGGCCGTTACCGGGGAAAGGTGGAGAAGACTTTTGTCGTGAGACTGTATGCAAGTCAAACGACGCATTATTCCTTGACCTGACCCAACGAAGCCTCCTTTCATATTCATTAGAATCGTCCCGCTTCGTGGCCGCTTTGGACCACAAAACGTGCGCCGACCGTGTCTCACGTCTCCTCGTCACGCCTAAGTACGTGCAAATCGATTTATATGAAAAGTACCGGCAGCAGCGCGACGAGAGAGGATCGGATAAAACCTCAGATAACCGCGACTTGAATAATTCTCCGAGGCCGTGGCGCGGCCGATCCCACTGATACACATTTTATTCCCGAGCGCATTCTAATTAACAGCAGAGTCACGCCACCGCAGCGCTCTCGGTTTAACCGCAAATCAGAAAGCAACGAACGAACGAAAGCTGTAAATTCGGCTGCCTAGTCGTTGTGCGCATCCAATATTGTGAATTTATCCATTAACGGACACTCGAAGGACGGGCAACGTTAGATACGTTAGATACTTCCAAGTTACCGTCTCGAGCACAGACTTCTATATATAAGAAACTAGACTGATAACTTCCATTGATTTTTATGTATAAAAACGTCCTTAATGTAAACATAGAATATTTAATATTTATGTGAACATTGAATGTGTCATTGAGTGTGACATTGCAAGAGGAAATATTAAATATTGGATAGATATTAACATTTTCTGGAGAAAAATGCCGTACCGTACGGTGCAGTTACATCCCTTTCGGGAGCCTGCAATGCGCATGCGAATGAAATTTTGCGAATGAAAACATGCTTTTAGGGAACGTGTTAAGGAGACAAGTTATCGATCTAGTGTATACAGGGTGTTTCAGACCACCCGGGTCACCCGAATTTTTTATAAACGCGACATTTTAGAAAAAATGTTTCAGGCAGGTCTCCTGGCTGGAGACCACCTCCGTCACACGAGAGAATCCAATTGTCTCGTTTTTCCTCTCCTCGGCCCGAGTTGCAATGTTGTCACATCATTTTTCATTCTAGATTCCAGATTGAAACGAAGAATGTGTCCCATCCGATGGCTATTGTATTCGATTAGCTTGTTCGTACGTAAAAGCTGAAGAAGCGCCAATACGTGGCGTTTCATATCGCATTTATTTAAAGGCCGGAACGGCAGCAATAGGCGCGTCGCTATACCACGGCGCGAGTCCAGGATATGAAAATAAGATTGGAAAGATAAATCTCGATATCGAGCCTATCCGATCTTGAAGATTCGACGTTCGGTGATAGATAGGCGCGATAGGCAAATTAGGCATGAATCGACTTTCAAAATTCGTTGCTCTGTCGGCCAAGATCTTCCGCTCGGATTCCCAAATATTAGAGACCAGGAGCAAACCGTGAATTCTTCATCCTTAGGCTGCAATAAGCAACCTGTACTCTGAATAAATTTTCGAAAACCGCGAATATATCGACAAATACTGAACGTATCGGTCTTCTAGTCGCCCCAAAAGCAGGATATTTTTCAAATAAACGCGCAACGATTTGAAACCTAGATTCAACAATAAATATATAAATATCATAATAAATTTAATAATAAATGTATAATAAATAAAAAATATATATGTATATATGTACAGGTTATTCGCGGGTATCTTTTGGAAACGAAAAAATGTGAAGATTAATCAGATCAAACTGATCAAAACAAAGTCAAGTACCATTTTGCCAAAATCGCTATAGTTATTAAGTTATTAATGATTGAAAATGACCACATCTAGAAGCTTTTTTAATTGACAACTGGAAAATTTGCGTACTTATTTGCAAAATAGTAAAGGACTTTTTTATTCAGAATTATCTAATCAACAATTACCTAATAAACAATTATGTGACGGTCATTGTGTCTAGCGATAGGTTCGCGAGATTCAGGGCTCAAAGTTCAACATATTCATATCTATTGTTAGACACAAGCCGTCATATAATTGGAGATTAGGTCATTCTGAGCAAAAAGTCCTTTATTTTCCATTTTGCAAATAAGTACGCAAGTTTTCATTGACATGACTTTTCTGCTCAGTGTATAAAGCGCGAGTAGAGATTATCATGAACGAAATCTCGGCTCTCAGAAATTAAGGATTTCACGTGAGGTTTGCATCTTTTCTCTCGTTGCAGAAGGATACGAATCACAACGATGAGACGACCGAGGGGGTATTTTGGGACCCGTCATGCGACAACAATCGAACCGCGAAGAATCAGAATCATGTGCGCCAATTGCAGGAGCAGCTGGCTCAAGCCACCGTGAAAGTACGCGAATTGGAATGCGAGTTGAAACGCGTTGAAATGGTAATGTTCATTGACTTACGACGAGAGCCTCCTTGAACGTAATGCCATGACATAAGCCGTGTGATATAAATCGGGAACAATGCAGGTGAACAGCACGTCTTTGAAGGACGATATTCCCGATGGACACCGAAGGGTTGAAGTGTTACGAGTGAAACAAGATATGCTGAATCGTATAATACAGATAGAAGAAAAGGTATAGAGCATCACATGTATTTATAAGATCATATTTTCTCCTGTCTTAATTACGAACGCTACTACGAATTTCCATTGTCCGTTAATTATAATTAAGAGTTATTACAATTAATGAACAATGGACACTCGTAGTAGAATAAGGGAGAAGATAATTTCTATTTTCCTCGCGTAGAAACGAGTCCGAGAAAGAAACCCATGAAATTGTTACAAAAAATTACTAATTAGAAAGAAAACATTCGTAATTTACGTTACGAGGTTACCTTAAAAAAGCTCGTCGAAATGATCAACAACACTACGAAATATCGTGAGAAAAGCAACAGATTAGATTAGATTTCAGTGATATCCCCGTATTGATCTTTCACATTTCCTCTTAGACCCGAGAAGCAGAACGGAACGCTAAACGCATCCAGCTGGACGAGGCTACTCTCGTCAGCGATTTTCGCTCGATAATATCCAAGCTGAACTCGCGTGAAAAATTCGACCTGGTTAGCGGAGCTCTGAAGGCTTTGCAAATCGAAAGCGAGACGCGTGGGAAGATGAAGGATCACGAGAAGTCCGATTCCGACGAGAAACTCGGCAAGGTCAGCGGCCTCGAATACAATCCTTTAACTTTGAAATATTATTTCAACGCAAATTCGGAACAGAGCAAGCCGAGTGACGCGAACGAGGAACACTCGACCAATAAGGAGGAAATATGGCGGAGAAGAATAGAGCAGCTCGAAAATGAGAACAGAGATCTCCTGGAAGCTATGGAAAAGTTGGATGAAGAACATGCGCAATCGATTGGTAAATAAGCACACGCAATCAGTCGGAAAGTCGGAAACTATCTTTCTTGCGTGTACGCCAAACTTCATCAATGCAGTCCCGTTCCTCGCCGTCACGGTGCCACTTGAAATTCTCGGTCAGGTGCAAAATATCGACCTATTCATATTGATTAATTATTAATATGATGAATATTTAGACATGACGAATGTAGTCTGACTGAAAACTTCAAACGTCATCATCCCAGGGACCGCATTTATGAATTTTGATGCACCAACTGTTATCGTCTATCAATGACAATTGTTTCTATCTGTTGATCTCGACAAATTGAAAGATACCTGTTCTATTTTCCGCAGAAGAATTGCTCTGCCTCAAGCAGGAAGTTAAGAAGGAGCATCGTTCCCTCCAAAGCGCTTACGAGCAACTTTCTGCGGATTACAACGAGGCTCAGAAGGAAATTATCGAATTGCGAAACAACGATATGCAGTTGCGAAAACTCGACAAAAGTGCCGACAAACTGGATAAGTATACTCAAGCGGCGCCTTCTTCTCAGCGAGACGACTCGGTATCGGAAAGAAAGGTTCTCAACGACATTACCGAGAAAGTTAAAGCCATCTTGAGGAACTGTACTATAAGCGACGCTGAATCGGGAGAATCGATCTTCGAGGCTGTCGCGAAGCAATACGTCGACGCCAAGTGGAAACTGGACGTCTTGGAGCGAAAAGTGACCGAGGTCACCCGGAACTTGAAGGAAACCGAGGATATGAAGGATACTTTGCAGATTGACTGCGAGGAATTGCAGTCTCACATCGACACGTTGTTGATGGAGAATCAAGCTCTAAAGTCGAATCTGCCGTGTATTCCTGAAGCGAGCGAAGAACGAGTAGCTTCCTTGGAGACGGATGTGGAGTCCTTAAACGAAGAGGTGAAACGTCTCCTAGCGGAAAATAAGACTATGCGCGAGACGAACTTAAATCTGACACGTGCTATAGAAAGCAAGGAATCTTCCTTGACGGATTACAGCCAGTCGAAGGAGAACTTTAACCGCGAGGTATACTCGCGCTTGGAAGAAAACAAAGAGTCACAGAAAGAAGTGGGTCCATCCGAAGATACAGCGGAATTCCCGACGCCTTTGAAAGAGATTAAAAGTTCGGACGAGGATACTGTGTCGATTGAACAACTGAAAGCCGAACATGAGAACGTAATACGAGAATTAACACTGACGGTGTCCAAAGTGGAATCATTAGAAAACAATCTGGCATTTCGACAGGGCGCTGTAGAGAAATTAACGAGAGAAAACGAAGATCTGCTGAAAAAGAAGAAACAGTTGGAGATGGAATTGCATGGTTGGCAATATGACCAGCTCAATTTGCAGCAACAGCTCGACCAAGCTAATCGCGGGAATTCTAACTTACAAAACAGCATCTTGTGCAAGAGAAAGGAATTGGACGAGATGCAGACTCAGATTGAAGCCAAACAGTCGCAATTGACCACATTGTACCAAGAATACGACAAGCTGATCAAAGAGAACGCCTCTCTGTCGGAGCAGTTGGCTGCTACACACGACGAATCGCTGGATAAGATAGAGCTGCTGAATACAGAAATGTCGTTGCTCCAACAAGAACATGAAGATCTGAAGCAGGAAGTATCGGTCAACAAAGGAGAATTGACTAGCACGAAGGAGCAGCTACATGAGACGCAGGGACATTACATGAGGTTGCAAAACGAGTGTGGTGTGTTGAAAGCACAATGCGAACAGCTGAAAGCGGAAAGGGAAAATATTCAAGGTATATCAACGGAACGAATGACGAAGATGCAAGAGCTCGAGAAAGAGTTAAGTCTCAGAGAATCGACCGTGGGAGAAGTAAATTTCCTGCGAAAGAAATGTCAGCAGTTGGAACAGGAAAGGGAGGCGCTTCGCTTGTCGGAATTTCCAAAAACCGCCTCAAATAATTCGACATACTCCGATAAAACGAACGGTAGAGCGGACGGACAGGAGCTTGGAGTTACTGGCAGTAATTTAGTCAGGATAGCCAACGTGACCGAGGAGATGAAAACGGAAAGAGCGACAGATTTAGCGACAGAAGACACTTCGAATAACGTAACGCTTAATCATAACAACCAATGGACGCTCGAGCGGATTATTAGAGAGGAAAGGCGAGAAAAGGATGCCCTGAAGGAACACAACGAGAGATTAACGAACGAAATCGTCGAGCTGCACGACAAGCTACAAAGCGTTATTGAAAGCAACAAGGAGTCGGCGGAAATGGCTAAGCAAACTATTGAGGATCTTTCTCACCTAATTCGAGACAAAGACCATGAAGTAAGCGTTCTACGGAATGATCTCACGCGTGCAAACAATACTGTGGAAGTTTCGAACGAGATCGATCAGATTGGCAAACGGAGGGATGAACTCGAGCAGCTCGTCGCTGTTAAGCATAACGAGATCCTGCGGTACCAGAATGAAGTTCAGCAGCTGATTTATCGCGTGAACGAGCAAGCAGCTCACATTCAGCGATTAGTCGTTGAGCAGACGGTAAATGAGGCGGCGAATAAGGCAAAGACGGAGAGACAGAATCACGAAGTCGAGAGTCAAATCGCTGCTGAACGCCAGGGACAAAGGGACGAGCTCGCAACACTGAGCGAAAAATGCGCTGCCCTGGAAGCCGCTCTGATCGAGGAACAGTCCAACAGCAGAATTCTGCGGAACCAACTCACCGAGAGTCAAAACAAGGAGACCAACGCCGCCAAAGAGTTGGAGAGGTTGAGAACGCACTTGGTCGAGATGGAGTCCAGCTACACGGAGGAAGCTCTGATCGCCGAGAGGAACCGTGAAGAGCTCGAGGCAAAGTTGTTGCAGGCCGAGGAGAAGGTGAAGAACAGTTCGACCGCTTATACATCGGCAAGTATCAGAGCGAATCAGCAGGTTGAGACGTTGCAACAACAAATGGCCCTGATCGTCCAGCAGAGGGATCAGATACAGGCGAAATTGTCCGCCACCGAAGACAACATTTTACTGCAGTCTGCCTCGTTGACCAACTTACAGATAGTCTTGGAGCAGTTCCAGCAAAGTGAGTAGAAAATTCCCTGACACGAATGCGTTTTCTCCTTTATATGATATAATTAATACGAGAATTTAGGTTACTCGAACATTACCTATTCGTATATTTTTCTCAGCGAACGAAGTATCTAACACGCAAGTTGACGATGACGTTAAACGTGCTTAAACTTACAGCTAAGGAGCGCGACATCATATCGGTCACAGAGAAGATTCGGTCTCAACTCGACGAATCGTATGAGAAGCAGGAGGAACTGGCGAGTGAGATTTCGATTCTTAAGGTTTGCCTCTTCTATAGTTTCGATGCATTATCCTATCGGACAATTTTACCGAATTCATTCGCTCGTAAAATTGTCGTCTACATGTCTATATTTATGCTTGCAGCAACAACTATCCGAGGCTAAAGAGTGCCTGCAAGCTGCCTCTAGATTAAGCGAACAACTGGAGAAGAAGGACGAACAGATCAAGCGACTCAACGAAGAAGGTAACTATACCATCAAGAATTCTAAACTGTCAGCATTGCCTGCACTTTGTTTCTTTCTTTATGGCATGGTTAGTGTTTCTCGGTTATATCGTTTCTTGCATCACAAAGCGCGATTTGGCAAGTTTTGCTCGAGTATCGCATAGAAAACGGATCTCACACGTTCCTTACGTATTTCCGCTTTCACCTTAACACATTGCAGTTGAGCGACAAATCAAATCACGCGATGTATACCGCACGGATTCAATTCATAAAGTGTTATATAAAAAAAAAGTATAAACTTACAGGCGGAACTTCATCAGCATTTTATATCATATACGAAAGAAAGAATAAACGAATCGAATCGACAGAACCATCAGTAATTAACCGAAACGTTAAATGCGGCATCTTCTCGAAGGGAATATCTTTACGTAGAGATTTATTAGCTTTTAGAATCTTGAACTGCCTTGTAATTTCTCACGAGACCGATTGTGACCGACGTGACGAACACTATGGATCGTAATGTAAGCAAATCTAAGCTCAAACGAGAGTATCTCTGTATGTGGAAATTCTATGTTTCATGTGTTCTAATGATATGCGACGCTGAGGTTTTAGCAGCTGCGACAATAACTTAGACACGTCCAAGAATCACTAAACCACTTTATTTCTGCCGAGACATTTCATGTCCGTACGTTTGTGCATAGCTTCTTTGTGAATAACATAAAGCCACGTATATTCAGCTAAAGGACATTGAGTAGTCATGAGAGGAAAAAAGAGACATCATTGTATGTCATTACATAACGTAGCACGCGCGAGATCGATAGCGACAAGCGCAATAGTAAGTATTGCCGAAATGAATAAAATCGATCCTCTGACGCAACGATCAGTGTGTTCGCAATCTGTGACTAATCTGCGAAAGCAAAACACGTATATACAATCCGGTGGTGTAATCAAATATCAGCTGGTAATTCTGGGGATTGCGACGATAGCCCAGGATTCTTGCTGGTATCTGGCTACGAACCGGATCATCGCCTTTGCACACTAAATCACCTATTGGTTGGTTCACGCAATTGCCCCTGCTGGTGCTGGTTACTACCACGTTTCTGCATTTTACTACTACATGCGAATATTCGCGAGTTTCTCCCATCTGGCGACATTCTAACGAGAATCATTGACAAAAAGAAAGATGAGCGAGAGCAACACGACGCCGCATCTCTTTTTCTTCTACGCGCGAGAAAGTAGCTTTAACGTCGTGTTCTTCTTTCTTCTCTTTTCGTTCAATCGGGTCAGCCTGCTCTCGCGTACTGTTGTCATTTCGTAACTAATTTTTTGTCGGCACAACTGACTGTAGTTATTTATTGCTGTGGAACGATACGAAGGATATGTGTGTATTAGCGGATTTACACGCGTTATTATCTTGCATGTAGTAGCGATTAATTTGCCATTCGATTGTTTGGTCTTTTTCTTTTTTTTTTCCTTTTTTTCGGCACACCAAGAATTGATTGACGTTTGTGGAATTAATAATTTGTACGATAAGTGATGTATTTTTTCAATGTTGCACAATCAATGTTGACACAGCCACACAGCAAAAGGCCATGCAATTGTTCCTTGTCATAATGCAATGCAATTTAGATTGCTCCATACACCCTCTAATATGCATGCAAGATAATAATAAGATATCGAGATCGACACAATGTCGGAAGTCATTATGTTCTGTAAATTACTCTGTATGATTATACTATTAATTAGTTAGTTAGATATATTAGACTGCACGAGACAGCCGCGATTATGTATGTTGTTGTCCCGAGAACAAAGTCTATTTCTTTTATCTGCAGATTTTTCCGCGGATCGAGGTATAGTTGATTTTTTTTCAAGAAAAATTTAAACGATTTATCGATTGAATAGTTTTGGCGAACGAAGTCTTGGAGATAAACCTCTAAATTCAACTGTCACTGTGACAAATTTTAGGAATTTTTTAATACCTTAACTACTATCTTGAATTTCATGTGAAACTGATCTCTGAAAACTTTATGATTGTCGGAACGGTATGGTAATATACACGCTAACGCCTACATTAAAAATATATTGTATCGGTAATACGAATATAATATAACGTGCGAATATGTGCAAAATGATGCATTCTAATATATAAATGGATTCAACCTTAAAAATGCGACCAATAATAAAAAAAAAAGGATACATGCAGGAGTTGAACTTTGGTTCAAATATCGCATGCGTTTGTTTTGAGCGTGCGGAAGTTTGTGATAAACTCGTGCGGTATTAAACTTCATCATGTACGTGTCGCTTTCTCCGTTGGCTACATTTTCAGGGATCAATTCATTCGCGAGATATAATGGATCACTCTGCGCACGTGCGTATGTATTTATACATGAATATGTAATCATAATTTGGTAACGATGATGTGGGTAATCTCATGCGGTAACTGTGAGCGTGTAAATAGGAGAAGCTCATATTACCTCGTGGGGTTTCCCACCCGTTACTGCGATTCGTCAGAATTGTGAATTTTTCGGATCACTTTTGCACGCGTTGAAATCGGTCGTTGAAGTTGTCGAAAATGATTATATATTTCTTCCCCTCAGCTATGGTAATCCAATTTATAGCGGTATGGCAAGCATGTCGTAATTTTATGCAAATGTTCGCAGCAAAGTACGGTGATCTGCAAATCTTTCGGAACTTTACATAGTAGAGGCTGCCGGAGACTGACTCCCTGAATATCGCAAATCCCGTTCCTCTCGTCCTCCGAAACCGTCCTCGGCCGGAGCTCGAGCGTGCTCTCTGCTGCGTGAACGAATGTGAATTGTATCACTAAAAAAAGCGCTTCTTCATACTTCTAGTGGCATGCGTGCAACGTTAGTTTCGTAGAACGGCATGATAAACGAGGAATGCAGCATGCGCAAATTAATAAGGCGCAGGTGAGAGTATTGCATCAGGTACTGATGTGATGTAGAAACAACCAGTACTTGTGTTAATACTTACGCTTGTGTCTTTCCGAGCTACCAATTCATCGACCTTGCGACGATGGACCGCACGCACAGTGTATATAGAAATCGTGAATTTCATCGTTAATTTTTCCCGACTAAGCGTCAGCCGTATTCCTCATCACGATTAAGAAACTTCGGCAGAACGAAAGATTGTCGGTGGACACGTTCATCTAATTCTCTCTCTCTCTCTCTCTCTCTCTCTCTCTCTCTCTCTCTCTCTCTCTCTCTCTCTCTCTCTCTCTCTCTCTCTCTCTCTCTCTCTCTCTCTCTCTCTCTCTCTCTCTCTCTCTCTCTCTCTCTCTCTCTCTCTCCCTCCCCCTCCCCCCCTTTTTCTTGTTTTATTTTTCATTCTTTTCTCAAATCAACATTCAAAATTTCTTTGAGGAAACTCGATCGAATCGCAGCTCGCCTTCATCAGTCGCGATGCGCTTTTGTGAATCGACACTTATAATTGTCGATTTTTCTAGTGACACGACTGACGACGCTGGTGGACTCCACTAACCAGAAGGTAAAAGAAACAATGGAACTTGATGAGGGAAAAGTCGACAAGTGAGTAAGACGGTCTTTGGTATATTTAACAAGACTTGAACAAGACCAGAACCAAGCGAAAACTGACTGTTCTCTAACTGATTCTCCCAGAACCCTCGTTAAGAATCTTCTGTTGGGTTACCTGTCCTCAACCACATCGGACAAGTCTTCGATCCTCAGGGTCTTCGCCACCGTCTTGGATTTCACTGAATCGGAAAAGGAAAAAACTGGCTTGAACAACACAACGACGCAGGGCAACTGGCTGTTGCGTGCCGGAAAAGGCGGCGGTATGCTGCTGAAAGTAGGGAATCAATTGCCAATTATCATCAGTAAAAATTCATCGTATTTACTCGCAGTTAAAGTGTAACAACGCGTCTAACAATTTTATGTATCTTGCAGAGTGAGGAGACGTCTCTGTCAGCGGCCTTCGTGAGATTCCTAGAAAGCGAGTCCAAGCCAAAGCCTCAATTGCCAGCCTTGCCGATCTTGAACTCGGTAAGCTGCTTTTTCTTTGCAATCTTCCGTTCGTTAAGAACATCATTTCTCTCACTAAGCACTCTTGCAGCCTTCCTCTAGATCCGAATACAACAAACAGGCTCCGTCGTCGTCGACGATATCATCGTCATCGTCAGCGTCGTCGTCAACATCGTCGTCATCGTCGTCCTCTTTATCTACGCAGTCTACGTTGTTGCTGTCCAATGTTGCTCTCCCAACGTTCCCGGACTTTGTTCCGGCTAGAAACACGGGATCCATCCTGAAGGAGGTGTTGAAGGACAGTTGATATTACACGCTGTATTAAACGATGTACAAATGATATTGAAAACTAAGTAGATATATAGAAAAGGCTACACCGATTTTTTTCATTTTGAAATATGTTATAAAGAATGAAATTCTGAGTGACTTTTCCTAATACAATTATATAGGGGTCGGTCATAGTTTCCGAAATATTTGACTTTAAAGTTTTATAATTGTACGTTGAAATATATTTGAAGTAGACAAGCAGTTTTCATTCACTTTAAATATAGGAAACAGTACATATAAGCGGGAGAGGGGCTCCGCTCCTCCCCCGCATCCCCTCCCCAGACAAATCCTAACCTAAGCTAACTTATTACATCTCTATATATTTTTGGGCAAATTGAAAAAGTGTTGAAAAAGTTCTCTCAAAGATCTATCACCTAGCTCAACTTAATTTATTATAATATCTGCATATAATTAGGTATTGTGGCTTTTAAGGAGATCTTTTCAACATCGCCCAACAATATATAAAGATGCAATAAGTTAGGTTAGGTTAGGATTGTTTTGGGGAGAGAGTGCGGGGGAAGGGCGGAGCCCCTCTCCTGCTATATGTATTGTTTCTTATATTTCTATGTATACACTGTGTTTGGATTAACTGTTTGGATTATACTGTAAATAACGTCAGCTTATGATATCTGGAATTTAACATCAAAATTCCAAAACTTTAAAGTCAAATATCTTGGAAACTATAAGCAACCCCCATATACAGGGTGTGCCAAAAGAAGCGGGACGGTCGAATATTTCGCGAAATTTACATCGGATCGAAAAATTGAAAAACACGTGTTCAATATTTTTCAAAAATCTATCGAATGACACCAAATACGACCCCCCACCCCCACCCCCTGGGGGTGGGGCGGGGGGCAACTTTGAAATCTTAAATGGGAACCCCCATTTTTTACTGCAGATTTGGATTCCTCATGAAAAAATAAGTTACTTTTATTCGGGACATTTTTTTCGAATTGTTGATAGATGGCGCTGTAATCGCAGAAAAACAAATACAGATCAGAAGTCTGCAAACGGTCAAATTTGTCGGGACATACGCTTCGGAACACAAAATTAGTATTTTTGAAAAGGCTATCTAATGATGCTACAGTAGACCGATAGATGGCGCTCTAATTGCAAAAACAATTCTTTCTCGCAAGTGAAAGTATTTCTACAGCTAATATGAGGTTAACGTCTTTCGTTGATTTTGTATCTGACTTTATTAAAAAACTACGTTTAGCATAACCCAGGAACAACGATGTGGACGTAGTAGTTTTTTGTTCCCTTCGGGGTGCTTGTTTTTAGTGAGTCCCCTTGCCTCTCATGATTGCCGCCAATAACTTTACTGTAGTAAATGCTCAAATTGTGCACCGTTTACTTCCTGGCAGTAAGCTAATCGATGGTAAACAGATTCGATGGAATTTTTTAAGTATTCTGCAGGTATTTGGGCAGCTACATCAATTATTCTTTGACGCAGTTCATCTAAATTTTGAGGTTTCGTTTCGTAAACCCGATTTTTTAAATAACCCCACAAGAAAAAATCAAGTGGAGTTAAATCTGGTGACCTGGCAGGCCATTCGATCGGACCTCTTCGTCCAATCCAACGATCAGGAAAATGTTCATCTAAATAATTACGAACGTTCCGTCCGTAATAATTGCAGGTATTGGGCAGACGAGAATCCACATTGGATGCGAGAGAGCAAAACCCAATACCCACAGAAATTAAAGGTTTGGGCTGGAATAATAAATAATCATTTGATTGGGCCATTCTTTATCGATGGTAATCTTACTGCTCAAAGGTATGAAAACATACTTCGAAATGAAATAATTCCAACAATAAGGGAGATTGCTGGCGATAACTTGGAGCAGGTTTGGTTTCAGCAAGATGGTGCTGCACCTCATTACGGACGGAACGTTCGTAATTATTTAGATGAACATTTTCCTGATCGTTGGATTGGACGAAGAGGTCCAATCGAATGGCCTGCCAGATCACCAGATTTAACTCCACTTGATTTTTTCTTGTGGGGTTATTTAAAAAATCGGGTTTACGAAACGAAACCTCAAAATTTAGATGAACTGCGTCAAAGAATAATTGATGTAGCTGCCCAAATACCTGCAGAATACTTAAAAAATTCCATCAAATCTGTTTACCATCGATTAGCTTACTGCCAGGAAGTAAACGGTGCACAATTTGAGCATTTACTACAGTAAAGTTATTGGCGGCAATCATGAGAGGCAAGCAAGTGGAGGGGACTCACTAAAAACAAGCACCCCGATAAGTGAGAGGCAAGGGGACTCACTAAAAACAAGCACCCCGAAGGGAACAAAAAACTACTACGTCCACATCATTGTTCCTGGGTTATGCTAAACGTAGTTTTTTAATAAAGTCAGATACAAAATCAACGAAAGACGTTAACCTCATATTAGCTGTAGAAATACTTTCACTTGCGAGAAAGAATTGTTTTTGCAATTAGAGCGCCATCTATCGGTCTACTGTAGCATCATTAGATAGCCTTTTCAAAAATACTAATTTTGTGTTCCGAAGCGTATGTCCCGACAAATTTGACCGTTTGCAGACTTCTGATCTGTATTTGTTTTTCTGCGATTACAGCGCCATCTATCAACAATTCGAAAAAAATGTCCCGAATAAAAGTAACTTATTTTTTCATGAGGAATCCAAATCTGCAGTAAAAAATGGGGGTTCCCATTTAAGATTTCAAAGTTGCCCCCCGCCCCACCCCCAGGGGGTGGGGGTGGGGGGTCGTATTTGGTGTCATTCGATAGATTTTTGAAAAATATTGAACACGTGTTTTTCAATTTTTCGATCCGATGTAAATTTCGCGAAATATTCGACCGTCCCGCTTCTTTTGGCACACCCTGTATAGTTGTATTAGGAAAAGTTACTCAGAATTGTATCTTTTATAACATATTTCAAAATGAAAAAAATCGATGAGGTGTACTCCTTTCTATATATTTACCAACATTTCTAGTAATATTCACCAGTAAAATTTGGACGCCAATACTTTAACACTCCTCCTCAAATGTTACTGGCTTTTAACACATAAATCTATCATATCACGCAGCCTCTCAAAACGTACGCGCATCAGAATTTTAGTCATTAAATCAGCAATTTGATTCTCTCCCTCGAGATGTTCTACATTTAAAGCACCTTCCAAATATCTTTCATGTACAAAGTAATGACTTCGATATACTTTGACTTCTTGTGAAACTCAGGATTTTTAATTAATTTTACCGCACTCGCACTGTCTACAAACAATATAGGAACATTTGAAAATATCAAAATTTCGTTTAACAATCGCGTCAACCAGATCGTCTCCTTAGCACCTTCACTTGCAGCCACAAACTCAGCTTCCGTGGTTGACAGTGCTACTTTATCTTTGACTAGACCAAGTAATTGCTCCGTTGTATTTGCTCACCATGCCTGATGTAGATCTCTTCGTTTGATAATCGCCAGCAAAATCTGCATCAGTGTATACCTTAAATATTCCTGATTCACCCTTTGCCTTATATAGTAGTCCAAGTTCAGTAGTGCCTCGTTATAGATACTTGAATATCCGTTTAACTGATGTCCAATCAGCATTCGTTGGTTTGTCTAGCTTCTGCTTTGCCTACGGCAAAGGCAATATCCGGTCTCGTTATTGTCAACAAATACATAAGACAAACAACAGCTTCTCGATATGGAACTTCAACTGCAACATCTGCTTTCGTTGATACTTCTTCTGTCACGATCGGAACTGATACTTTATTAGCCTTAGATATGTTGAAACGCTCTAGAATCTTCTTGATATAACTGATGTGATGAACAAAGATAGAGCCGTCCTTACTTCGTTGAATTTCCATGCCCACGAAGCAATCCAGAGAACCAACAGTGATCTCGAACTCACGTCGAAGTTCTTCCAGGAACTGTTCAATTATTTGATTGCTCGAACCAGCTACAAGTCCCTCCTCTACATAAATGGTTACTAGTAGTTTTTGACCATTTCCTTTTCGTATAAATAAATAGGGATCCGCTGTTGAAGCTTGCAGTCCGAATTTTTTCAAAAATTTCACGAATCGAGTATTCCAGCACTTGAGTGCTTATTTTAAACCATACAAACTGCATTTCAATTTGCATACTCGACCAGAACCATCATTCAAGCCTGTACACCTTCTGGTTGTTTCATGAAAATCTCTTCTTCAACTCTTCCGTACAAAAATGCAGTTTTTACATCAAATTGTTGAAGTTTCAGATTTTCACTTGCAACTACACTTAGAATTGTTCTGATAGTATCAAACCTAGCAACAGGACTGAAAGTTTCGTCATAATTAATCCCGTATTTCTACACGTATCCTTTCGCTACCAATCTAGCCTTATATCGGTCAACCTTATATCTGCCATCAGGTCTAGTCTTCACACGTAGGACCCAGCGGCTGTCTATCAATTTTTTACCTTCTGGTAATTCGGTGAGTTTGCAGATGTCATTCTCGGAAAGAGATTTTATTTCTTCTTCCATTACTTTCTTCCAATGTCTCTTATCATGTGACTTCATGGCATCTTCATAAGTTGCAGGATTCTTACCTTCTGTTGTAGCTAGCATTGCATAATTTTGTAAATATGCCGGTGATTTAAACGTACTTCGATCGCGTAGATTATGAACAGAATACATTGTTCCTCTTCTTTGTGTCATCTTTTACAGTTTTTTTCTTCTTCATTATGTCTATCATTTTCCACAGATAATGATTCAGCCGTGAAGAATTCTTCCTCTTCGTTGTCTTCCTCATCATATTTCAACGGATGAGCATCCTCAGGTATGGATAAGCTGTATTCAGTCTTTTTCGATGTACACGTCATTTCTGCTGGAAACTCAACATCTCGACTGAGCATTAATTTCTTCATTGTCGGATCATATACGATAGCCATCCTTGTTGCAGAGAGAAGAAGGAGAGAAGTCATGAGGTCTGTTCTTTTCCTCTGCACCACTGCACTAGTGCAATAAGTCGAGTGGGACAAGTATATATTTGTATATATGAGTATGTTTACTGCATGTAGCGGCAGTCCGTGCTCCATTCA